TCTTCTGCTACCTAGTGATGGCCTTCGGCCTAAAGAACTCGGGGGCCACTTACACCCGGATGGTGGCCCGGGTCTTTCAAGCCGTCCTAGGGCGCACCATGGAGGCTTATGTCGACGACATGATCGTCAAGAGCAAGCAATCTTCCAACCATGCTGACGACCTCCGGGAAATCTTCGCCATCATGCAAAAATTCAACCTTCGGCTAAACCCGAAGAAGTGCACCTTCGGCGTCCAAGGGGGCAAATTCTTAGGCTACATGGTGAGCCGAAGGGGTATTGAGGCCAATCCCGAGAAAATCCAGGCCATCATCAACATGGAGCCCCCACGCAATGTGAAGGAAGTTCAACGATTGACGGGCCGCCTGGCAGCCCTCAACCGCTTCCTATCTAAATCGGCGGAAAAATCTCTTTACCCTTCTTCCAAATCATGAGGAAGACGACCGACTTTCTATGGACTCCAGAATGCCAGGGGGCTTTCGACGAGCTCAAAAGATATCTATCTTCACCTCCTGTGCTCTCCAAACCCAAGGTAGGGGAGACCCTCTACCTCTACCTTGGGGTTAGCCCGGCGGCCATCAGCTCTGTGCTCATCCGAGAGGAAGACGGCATCCAACATGCCATCTTCTATGCTAGCAAGACCCTAAGGGAGGCCGAACTCAGGTACTCCCCTGTGGAAAAAACGGTGTTAGCCATCGTTTGGACTGTCAAGAAGTTGGGCCACTACTTTCAGGCTCACCCGGTTCAGGTCCTCACCCATCAACCCCTCGGCGCCCTCATGAGGAGCCCCACCAGCTCCTCCCGCATGGTGAAATGGGCTATCTTCTTGAGCCAGTACAACATTGACATCCGTCCAAGGCCTGCCATCAAGGGCCAAGCCCTAGTGGACTTTGTGACGGAATGTACCGCAAGAGCAGCCACGGACGGGGAGCCCTCGGCTACCTCGGACGACTGGTGGACCCTCTACACTGACGGCTCATCCGCGACCAAAGCATGCGGGGGAGGGGTAGTCCTCATTACTCTCGAGGGCTTCAGGGCCTACTATGCAATCCGCTTCTCCTTCAAAGTCTCCAACAATGAGGCCGAATATGAAGCCCTCCTATGTGGCCTTCGGCTGGCTGCCAACATGAGGGCTCGGCAGATCCACATCAAATGCGACTCCAAGTTGGTCGTTGGCCAAATCTCCGAAGAATATGAGGCCAAGGAAGGAAGAATGAAACAGTACAAAGAAGCGGCCAAGGAGTTGCTTAAGGTATTTGAGGCACACTCTCTCACTCAAATACCGAGGGCTCAGAACTCCGAGGCCGACATATTATCTAAACTCTCGGCAGACTCCCCCGAGCACATCTCCAAGATTGCCAAAATCGAGGAACTCAGCCTCTCAAGCATCCATGCAAGCCCCGTGATGAACATACAACAACGTCAGGAGGATTTGATTTCAGATATCACCGCCTTCATCTCCACAGGGCAGCTACCCGAGAATGAGGCCCGCGCTAAACTTGCAAAGCTGAGGGCTCCCAGCTACACCATCGATGATGGAAGGCTCTACAAACGATCTTACAATGGCACGCTACTTCGGTGCCTTCATCCAGATGAAGCCGAGGTCGCAATGGAGGAAGTGCACAGTGGCACTTGCTCAGCTCACCAGGGACCCTTCTCCATGTCCCGAAGGCTCATTCTCCAGGGCTACTTCTGGCCAACCATGGCCAGGGATTGTGCTGACCTTGCCCGGAGGTGCACCGCATGTCAACATTTCCAGAAAGCCCCCGGCAGGCCAGCGGTCAACTATGCCCCCATCAGCACATCTGTCCCATTTTCTCGATGGGGGATAGACCTTGTGGGCCCTCTGCCGAGGGGTACCTCCAACAACAGATACATCATTGTGGCCGTCGACTATTTTACCAAGTGGGTGGAGGCTGAACCCCTCGCCAGCATCACAGAGGCGAAGTGCCGTCACTTCGTCCTCAAGAACATCCTCACAAGGTTTGGCGTCCCCCAGCAGATCATCTCCGACAATGGAACACAATTTGAGGCAACCCCCTTCTGTGCCCTTCTGGAGGCATGGGGCATCAAACACACCTTCTCCTCCGTTGCCTACCCTCAAGGCAACGGACAGGTAGAGAATGCCAACCGGACCTTGCTCGAGGGCCTCAAAAAGAAGCTGGAGGCCGAGGGTGGTGGCTGGGTGGAAGAACTTCACAACATCCTCTGGGCCTACCGCACTACCCCTCGGCGCGCTACAGGTGAAACACCCTTCTCCCTCTGCTACGGTTTTGAAGCCAAAGCTCCTACGGAAGTCACCCTTCCTACCCGAAGGGTGATCCAATATGACCCCGAGGTCAACGACAGCAACATGGCCCTCGACCTGCACCTCATTTCAGAACGCCGGGAGCAGGCCTTCATCCGGGCAGAAAACTACCGAAGGCAAGTCAAAAGCTACATCAACGCCAAAGTTCGAACCCGGGAATTTCAAGTGGGGGACTATGTGCTCCGGAGGAGGGAAGCCAGCCAACCAACCGAGGGAGGAAAAATGGCACCAAAATTCGAAGGCCCCTACATCATAGCAGCCATCATCAAACCCGGGACTTACAAGCTCAAACGCCCCAATGGGAAAGAAGTCCCTAGGCACTGGAATGTACACCATTTAGTTAAATTTTATCAATAATGTAAGAGCGGCCAAGCCCTCATAATTAGTAAATGTACTATCCTAAGGCCCGGGGCCTCCAATTTCGAAGAATGAAGGTACATTCAAAACATCAAGCCCTCATACTGACTACAGGCCCCAGGCCTCACCACAAGAAGAACCCCCTCCGGTACCCATTGCCGAGGGCGGACACCATCAACACCTACAACAAACAGTAGAAACACCACGTGTTTTCAGTCAAGACCCCTCGGCACCCAGTGCCGAGGGTACTTCCCCACCTTCAACATCAAAAAAGAAAAGATTAGAACACCAAGTGTTCCTACAGAAGACCCTTCGGCACCCAGTGCCGAGGGTACACCTCCCTCATCAAATATCGAAACGAAGAAAAAACACCAAGTGTTTCAAAGAAGACCCCTCGGCACCCAGTGCCAGGGATATGCTCTCCTAACAGCTTCCAAACGTCTATTGGGAAACACCAAGTGTTTCATTTGGAGACCCTTCGGTACCAAGTACCGAGGGTAGACACCTACATCAACTACAACAAGAGAACACCAAGTGTTCCTACAGAAAACCCCTCGGTACCAAGTACCGGGGGCTACACATCGAAACTACACCAAGTGTTGTTTCTAAAAGCCGTACCCCACGAGGACGCATATACCGAAGGCGCCACCATCGGTGCCGGCGGCACGTAGTGCCCTCGGCCATTTGAAACTAGTGTGCAAATGAAAACCCTTCCTTGAAACGCTTTCCGCGTCACTACCCCCAGGGTATGACAGGCATGAGAAATGCCCAGGATTCGACTTTCAAAAACGGAACGCTATCCGTGTCATTACCCCCAGGGTATGACAGGCATGAGAAATGCCCAGGATTCGACTTCCAAACCGAAACGCTCCCCGCGCCAACACCCCAAGGGTGTGGCAGGCCACAGACTATGTCTAGCGCCGAGGGGACGACTTTCAAAAATGAGGCGCTTTCCGCGCCATCCCCCAAGGGGAGGCAGGTTATGGACCACCATATCTTGTGCCCAGGAAACGTCCCTCGATCCCCTCGGCACTCGGAAGGTTAACCCGAGGGAGGAGAGCCATTGGTGTATTCTGATGGTCTCCTAATAGGCCCAGCCTTACCAAGAAACCAAGTTTCTTGATGCCTTCCCTTCACCACCAACCAAAAAAAAAAGGGGGTGAAGGGGAGTAGACTCAGCGAGAAATCGAAGAGTACACTCCAACAATATCACAGCATGCCGAGGGCTCCCCACGGGAACACCTCCGGTAATTAAAGACTCCTATTTCCCGAAGGATACTACTCAAAGAAATATCATCAGGAAACGGCTAAAGTCCACTACCTGGTCACCTCCGGTCACAAAAAACATCGAAGGCTTCAACAATACAAAGGGACTGGACTGTCCAAGGTCCACTAAACAGTACTTCAAACAAACACCGAAGGCATCTGTTATGCACGAATACCGAGGGCCCTTTCCCCATGACAAGGGTCAAATTCTACAACTTTTAAAGTGTATGCCGAGGGCACACACTCCTCATTGCCTTTCTTCACAACAACAGGATTCAACATCAATTTATGCTTAGAAAAATCCTAAGTCCTGAAGGAGCAGCCCCCGGGCACCCGAAGGCTACACAGGGAAGCAGCACTGCAAAGAATTATAAGTCCTAAAGATGGAGCCCCCGGCCCAATCAATATTACAGCCAAGGGAATATGGTGGCCGAAGGCCATGCAATACAACAACACTTAAAAAAAAAGAGGGTATTCCGTCCTGAATGAGTAGCCCCCGGGCATCTCGCAAAGTGATGTGGAATCAGAGGGCACCTATCACCCGAAGGCACCCAAGGAAGATTTATACTTAGAAAATTTTCTAAGTCCTACATGTTTTCCCCCCGGCCAACTACTCATACATCAAGGAGGGATGCCATCTCCCGAAGGCTCCCAAGGGAAACTCTACACTTAGAAGATTTCCTAAGTCCTACATATTTCGCCCTCATCTCGAGGGACCTAATTGCCGAAGGCTACATATCAATCGAGAGCTACGGTACACAAGGAATCAACGCTCAAGAAAATCTTCTAAGTCCTAAAGAATTGGCCCCCGGCCTATTCAATATTTCAGTTAGGACTCCACAGTAGCCGAAGGCTACATGGCATACTACACTTGCGAAAAATCTCTAAGTCCTGTGCATTGGGCCCTCGGTCCAAACATTCACACGTCAGGAAGGGACGCCGTAACCCGAAGGCTTTCAAGGTGGGATCTACACTTAGAAATTTTTCTAAGTCCTATGGATTGGGTTACTACAAACACCCGAAGGCCCCATACTGTGCTACACTGAGGGAAATTTTCTAAGTCCTAATTCCTACAGAACCCTCAGTTGCATATCCAGCAGAGGGTGCCCAACTACCGAAGGCTTCCAGTGGCAAGCTACAATCAGAAAACATTCTAAGTCCGGAAACATACATTCCAAATATCAAGACATACATCCAAATCAAGACGAAGGCATGCATTCGGCAATAAACAAATCTAAAGGAAACAGATTGTATAACAGGGGCCCGAGGGCGTGTGTACTCATTCATTCAACAAAGAAAAAAGTAGTTTGATTGTGCTTTACAAAGGGGGCCGAGGCCAACAAATTACAACACCAAAAGGGGGAAGTACAATTTAAGAGGGGGAACTGTAGATATCGCCTCACTCTCGGCTTCATCCTCTTCACCACCAAGGCCGCACTCCCGGAGGGTCTCCGAGTCTTCAAGAACCGGTCTCTCTTCCCCCTCGGGGAGCGGGATCCTGACATCTGGCTGGCGGGGGGGAGGCCATAAGCCTCGGGACGGAACTCCTCCGGTGCCACCTGAAAGTGCTTCGCAAGCTTCCGGTAGATGAGGCGTTGGGTGAAGAACTCCCCGCCTTGGTAGTACGAGTCGCCCCTCTCAGCAAGCCACATCTTCCCGGGGCCCCCGACCCACTCATCTACTGAAGCCCCCACCACCGAAGCCAGCCACTCCCTCCGATCTTCGGCCTTCCACCCCTCGGCCACGAAGCTGGCCACCGCATCCTCTCGGGCCTTGGAGAAGGCCTCTTCTTGAGCCGCGCGGGCTTCATCGGCAGCGATACGGGCGGCCTCGGCGGCGGCCTCCCCGGCCCTGGCTAGCCCCTCATTGACCCCTTCGGCCCTTGCTGCCTGCAACCTCTGCTCCATGCCGTCGGTGGCCAGCCGTAGAGAATCCTCGGCTTCAGCGAGTTTCTTCCTGAGGAGGGCAGCCTCCCCCTCGACGGCACCCTTGGCCTCCCTCATTTGATCCACCCTTCGGAGGTGCTCGCAGAGGCCCATGAAAGCCTGCAATTCACGAAGGCAAAAATAAGGCATAAGGAACAGAGTACGGAAGAAAAACGTAGCAATGAGCAGGGAAGAGAGGGGGACTTACGGAGGCGGCATTCAGGAGGACCTTCGCCTCGAGGGGTCCCTCGTCTAGCCGGGCAAGGGCCAGCCGGTCGGCCGAAGGTAGCATCTGGCTCATCAAAGCCGAAGGGTTCAAACTGCCCTCCAACACGGAGGCCCCCTTCGGCACTATCGCCTCCAACCTCTCCCGCCCAAAGAACTCCTGATTGATTTGTTCCTGGGGGGTGGAGGCAGAAGCGTGCCCTTCGTCAACAATCACCACCACATCGGTGATCAGTTGTTTGGTAGGGGCGGCGGTCTTCGGCTTCTTGGCCGGGGGCTCGGCCCCCTTTCCAGCAACCTTCTTTTTTACGGGCCCGGAACGCTTGGACCCTCCGGCGCCAGCAGCAGCGCCAACAGTTTGAGAGGGCCCCTCCCTAGAAGGAGCGCCCGCCGGGGCCTTCTTCTTTCCTTTCGCGTTTTTTAAAGCGAAGAGGGAACCAACGTCCATATTGCTACCTGCAAGCAACAAGAAAAAACAGAAGGGTTAAATCGAAGGCTACCAGTCACTACGTCATAAAAAAAAACAGGCGGGATGCGAAAGAACTATCAACGCATCAGTGAACATTTCGGTGATCACCTCCGGCGCCTTCGAAGACCCGATCGAGGGGAGGGTATCTCTCATCCGAGGAGCCCCTCGGCCTGAACTGCCGGAAGCCTAGGTTAAGCAGATCCCCCGGGAGGGTGACTTCTCTGATCTTGACATGCTTGTCAGACCCCTCCGGCTTCTTGGCAAGCACTTTGCCGTTCTTCTCCAAAGCTGCACTCCCCACCTTCGGGTGGCGCCGGAGGCTATTACGGAGTTGGGCCGGGAAGGGATTCTCCTCGAGGCGGATATAACAGAACCTCTCCTTCCACCCCTTGTGAGACGAGGGCACATCATCGAAAAGCTGGAACTCCGGTACCTGCTGAAGGTTGGCAAAGCCCTCAGCATTTGAATGTCCCCCCCGGCACAGGTTGAAGGACATGAAGAATTGGTCGAGTGTGGGCTCGACCCCCCGGCTCTGACACAAGGAAAGGAAGCCGGCCACATAGGAGTGGCTGTTGGGCGTTAGCTGGCAAGGGGCCAACCCCACAAATCTCAGGTACTCCAAGAGGAAAGGATGGAGCGGGAACCGGAGCCCCATTTCCACCGAGAGGGTGTGAGCAGCAAAGCACCCCTCGGGCGCGTATCGCAGCAAATCATCCGCCCTGGGCTCCACCACGCGCGCCGAAAGCCCAACCAGCATCTGGGTGGACTGGTATTCTGCCGGGGACGCCTTCGTCTTCAGCTCTAGAGCAGCAGTGTTCAAGAACGAATGGCCCTCGGGTATGCCCACCGGCCGCCCGGCATCTACTGCCGCTTGCTTCTTCCTCGGGGCCGCCTTCGTCTTGTTTTTCTTCCCGGGAGCCACACTTATTGGTGTCGGGTCCAATGGCCGGGAGGAGCCGGCTTCCCCGGCACCCCGGGGGGAGGAATGGCAACCGTCACCTTCAGCCGCTCCCTCTCCTCTTCCTGCTCGGCGGTTTGCACGGCAAGGGCAAGCTCCTCATCCTCGTTCTCTTGCTCGAAGCCCTCGGCTTCGACTTCGGCCTGGAGGTCCTTCTCCACTTCCATAGCCACTGCGGCATCACCGGCTGCCGAGGACTCCACACTCGAAGACTCCACATCTGAGCATGTCACCATCTCCACCGAAGGCTCCCCCGAAATATCCTGTGAATCACTCTGGGACGACATGCTGACTCTGGTTCGAAGGCTCGCGGACACTAGTGTTTTCTAAATTTTCTATCTCCTAACCTAGGGGCACAGTACTGTTTCTCTCTCTAGAAAAATTGGCAGAGCTTCGCTAACAAGTTTTTCGCACACAGAGGAATGCCTGGCCTTGGGGTATTTATAGGCGCTGGAATCCGGGCTTGGGCCTGGGTTCCAGGCCTCCGGATGGACGCCATCATTACTCACCGCGTCTTCGCCCAACCGGTGACGCCGCCCACGGACAGCCAGCCATCACACGCCACGTGTGCCCCCCCCCCAACGGCTATATCCCGTCGTTACATATTCCAACGGCTATATTTCCAACGGCTATATTTTGGAAGCCCCCGAGTTTTCTACTTCACTCCACTTCATCAAAGATAGCCTCCGGGTGCACTCACCCAGAAGTGCCCCCGGGTTGTGCCCACACAGCACATTACACACGCCTTCGGGATCACCCCTTCAGATCCCTAGGGCTGCATATCAGGGCACCCCTCGGGGTTTCCCCCTCAGCACTGCAAAACCGGGTAGCCCCCGGGGTGTGCCCCATTGACGGATGGCCCATGGCACACAGGTAATGGGAGCCCTCGGGTATCTTCATCACCAACTCATCAACAGACAGTGGACCCCCCGGTAACAACTTCACTGCTGCCCTCATCTGGCAGGCCCTCGATCCCTGGATTGAGGGGGTCCCCTTCGGCACCACCAGGACAGCAACAGCAAGCCTTCGGCTAATCAACACAGGAGCCCTCAGAGGAGAGAGCCTTCGGCATTCCCGTCATTCCCCACTTTGTACCAAGGTTTGACATTTTCGATTCATCATTGGGGGAATTCGGTGCACTCTTTTTCCCTCATTAGGATTTTTTCCCAAAGGGTTTTTCCTAATGAGGTTTTTAACGAGGCATCCCCCCGAAATGAAACGAAAAGCGTCAGCCTTCGGCCCACAACGGCAACGTAACTACTTTACTCCTTTCCACCACTTTACAAGTGCCTCAAGGAGTGGGGGACTGGAGGACCCCTTCGGGAAAAACATTAAATTACAAAATCTGTGAAATTCCAACAAACAACAAAGCAAGCCCTCAAGTCCCGACATGTGGGTAACTGAGGGACTGCCTTCGGCAGGGACATAAAAGCAACAACTCCTCACCAACCTCAGAGATCACAACGGGACAACATCAAAGGGCAAGCACAAATTACTCCTTTTCCCTCAAGTACCTTTCGGCAAAAGGAGTGAGGGACTCCTGATGGAGTATATGGCCCGAGAACCCCCGGCCCACAGACTCCTACTACTCCAGCAAAAGGCCCAACAGGCCCAAAAGGTCCAACAGGCCCAAATCACAGTGCCCAGAATACCAAGCAGCCCGCACTACGCGCCAGGGGTGCCTTCGGCCCCCCGGCCGAAGGCTCTAATTCTCACAGAACAGGTTTTTCAAGCAAACTAAGAAACTGGGGGAAAACGGCGAAAACAGTAGCCCTCGGTACTGTGAGCCCTCGGCACCAGGGTGCCCTCGGTTGAAGGAGCCTTCGGCTACTGCTCTATGGCCGAAGGCATCTCACTCGACAAGATATCCGCCTCACATACGTACAGATCACCGTACTCTGCACAGACGTCCCATCCAACAGCCGCATTAAATGCGGCCACATGCGGCTGCCAGCGCCAACCAGTTGAGGCGACCCCTCGGCCAATGAGCGCTTGACACGTGTCCCTGCCCGGCATTTATTGCTGCTATAAATAGCCCCCCATTTCCCCATTTGTAACCACGCTGAAAACGCTCCACATTTATAATACACTCTCTCTATATATATATTTACTTGCTCTGACTTCTTTCTAAGTTATTCCCCGTAGTAACCCTTCGGATATATACCCCCGGGTAGACTATCCATCAGTTCTCAAATTACTAAAACGGTAAACAATCCACACAAATCAAACATAAAAACAAACGTTTGTGCACTACTAATTAGTGCATATCAACCATCAATTCAAATACTAATGAATAGTAATTAGGTATTAGTTATCTAATATGTAAAACACCTAAAGGAGTCTAAATTATATCAAGTATGAACTATATTCTACATACTAAAAAGAAACTCACCTATACTTCACATGTTTCATTTCTAATAATATTGTTTGTATTTTTATTTATTTTTGTAGTTTCTTAGTAGTATTGTGTGTGTTGGAGTTAATTGTTATTGTTACGGTTTGTTTCGTGCAACTATCCTATTAATCTACTATTTTTTGTGTTGCCTTTATCATAAATTTTTGTATGCGTTGCATTTTTAGTGTTGTAGTTTTTGTCATGAAGTTTCTTTTTGGAGTTGTATTTTTTTCGCTGCAATTTTTTTTTGAATGTCCCGAACCGCCCCGTTCTGTTCCGGTACCGGTTTAAAAGGGACAACAGCGGGACAACATCTTGTCCCGTCCCGTTCTGTCCCGTTATCCTAAACCGGATTCGGGACCGGGATAGTCTAATTCCCGTCCTGTTCCGTCCCGTGCCCACCCCTATCTAAAATCCATAAGTAATTTATTGTTGTTGTTGTTTCATTTTTGTTGAAGTCACACATCGGAAACCTATAAAGCAATAAAATATTATATAAGGCTTTGGACTCCTCCTATCAGGTTGACCTTTAATTTTATGATAAAATCAAGTCTTAACAATTTTAATGATTAATTTAACATTTAAGATTAATAGTTATTATAGTATATATATATATATATATATATATATATATATATATATATATATATATATATATATGAGACTTCTCAAGACAAAAATAAGTTTAAACAGGATGTACTACATAATAAATACTCTGTATAATGTAACAGACTAACAGGCTTGAGCTTTACGGCTTGCATGATTTATCTAATCAAACTAAATTAATATAGAAGGTGAAGAAACAAGAGGCCAGGTCAAAGAAGTTTCTAAACTGTCCTTTTTAATGTTTTTAGCTTCACTGGCAATAGTTGGCCTGTCTGCTTGACCTTTATGCATTTCTCTTTAACGACAAGCAATCACCAATCCAAGATGCGCCCATCATCCCCGGTCTCTCCATCATATCACATTTATAAGCTTAGTATATGATCTATAAATGATTATCAATGAGATACACATGTTTTTTATGTTCTTTACATATTTGTCATTTTATAGAACAAGAATATGCAAACAGGAAATATACTACAAATTTATAAATATATAAATATAATAAAAAATCTAAATTAAAAGGCTCTTTCTAATTAATGATGAAAGAGAACATGAATTGATTCCAGAGTAATCAGATTTAGAGGTTGACCACGCTTAATTACATGAAAACTATTTAATTGAACAACGATGGTCGATACTAAATTCTTACCGCTCTCGCGTCGTAGAGAACAATAATTTAGGGAACCAGACTGATCTCTCATGCGACAAGTGCCTAAATTATTGTCAAGACGAGCGAACGTATTGCCCCTAACTGTTACTAATCTCTTAGCAAACGATTAAGTGTGTGTGAAAATGTTCTAGAATAAATTAGATCTCTCTTAATTTACTCTATGTGCAATTATACTTCTAGCAATTGTTCTAGGTTACAAAAGATATCAATTAAATTATTCAAACACAAATTAAATAAAGATCATACAATTAAACCATCAAGAAATCAACTCTAGATCATGATTAACCTCTTCATCAATCTCAAACTCCTAATAAAATCTACTCAGAATTTATAATTGAGTAATCAACATAACTGAGAAGAAAAGAATTAAGTGTCATTAATTAAAAAGATTAAACTTACAAATAACTCCGTATTCTTGAATATCAAAGCGGAAAACTACTCACAATTTCGTCCTATGTCTCTCTAGAAGCTCTGTAACGGAAAACATAGGTTTACAGACTGTATAAATAGAAAGCAGTGGAATCTGGGCCAAAACGGGACTGTAGGGGGCATGCACGGCGCCCACGCACGGCGTGCGTGGTGTCCGTGCATCCGGAGTATGTACGTCCCTGCCACGCACGACGTGTGCGGCTTCCCGTGGCTTCCCCGAAAATTCGTCTTCCACGCAGGGCGTGCATCCACATGCGCACATCGTGTGAAATGTCATTGCAAGCTTTCGATCGTCTGCCACGCACGCATGGCGAGTGTTGCCTTTGTTCTTCATTTTCTTCCGTTTTCTTGCTCTTTAAGCCTCCGATTGTTCCCGCAACCAATCTTAGAGCTCTTTTGTCTTCAAAACCTCATCTTTAACACCTTGTTGACCTCCAAAGCTCTTAATCAACTCTCTAATGCGCTTCAACTCTCTCGATTACTCATCAAACGCCGATGTCAAGCTTAATTCCCAGAATTTGACTCTAAAAATACCAAACATACCCCAAGACCCGGTAAACCATGACTTGAGATAATTATGAGCGCCTTGTGACACACTTTAGCTAGAAAAACTGACAAAAATTAATCTCAACACGCATAAAATGTGTCTTAAATATGAACTTATCACTACCTAATTAGAACATCTTCAATGCAAAAACGTTAGTGATAGCATGTGTCATGCGTAAGATAGACACGTAAAACTTAATAATTAGAATATTGTATCCTTCTTTGAACGTTTTTATATGTTTTTGAATTGATAATTTTTTCTTCACAATGTCAAATAGAATGTCTATGTGTAGATATTATCGTTGAGAAAAAGTTTCCAAAATACATAAAACACTAGAAAGAGGGTGAGAGAAAAATTATGAATTTATTTTTTGTGTCTCTCTCTCAAACAGTATGTAGTATATATGCATCCTGCACATTATAATATGCACTAGGGATGGACTCAACCGGCCCTGCCCAGCCCGCTACTGTGCGGGCCCGGACCGGACCGGGACCGGTTGGCCGGTTCCGGGCTTTTAGCCCGTTTGGGCGGATCAGGCGGATCGGCGCGGGCGGTTCGGGCCGGGTCCGGGTCAATTTTTTTTTTCAATTTTTTTTCTTTTCCTAGGGTAGGGTTGGGTGTTTTGGGGAGGTTTGGGGGTGGGGGTGAGAGGGGGGTCGGGGGATAACAAGAAAGAAAAAAAAAAGACATTGAACCGGGCCCGGTTAGGCGCGGACCCGGTATCAACCCGGGCCGGTTCCGGGCCCAAGGATTTGCAAAAAAAATCCGCCCGGGCCCGGGCTGGAACCGGAATCGGACCGGCCTGGGTCCATCCCTAATATGCACACTAAATCGACTTCTTTGTGATATTTTTCAAAGTTCCGCATACATATAAAATCACCGTGCACATTATTAGTTACTTTTGTTTTCGCATATATTTACTATCACCGTGCACATGATCTTAGTGTTTGTTAATGTTTAAAGAGACATGAACATTTAATGATATCGATTTAGGAATGGGAGATTTGTTGCACGGTGTGGATATGCAAATACATTGACATGTGGATATAACTACAGCCATACAACATGCATGCTATGTTTTAAATCTTTCAAAAAAAATGAATCCCCCACCCCAATTTTTTTTGACACAATTATGGGTTTCGCGTCCCTTATCTTGCATATTTGAGAGATTGTAAGTCACAGTGTAATCTTCACACGACCATTGTAAGCCTGTAATTTTTTCAACTTAGGTCAATCTTCCAATTTTCTTGCTACTCAATCAACTGAGTTACACATGTGAGTAGCATGTTATGTTTTAAGAATAGACATGGGTAAAGTGGTAGACTATTTGAGTGTATTTGCAAATAACAATAATGTAAGGTTAAATTGCAATAATTTAAAAAAATTATACTGAAAATAACAATACTATAATGAGCTCATAACCATAACCTAATTTTAAAGTTCCGTTTTGAATATAAATATAAATCCAATCTGTTGAATAACACTGAATTTGTTAAAATGGATGAAACTCTAATTAAAGAGGCTGAATTGACTAAGTTTGTTGAATTATGAAAATATTATGTTTAAAATATATTTTATTATTAAATAAAGAAAAGTATGTATGTAATGGTTAAAGCGATCTTCTGTAGTAACTTCGGTCAATTCGATAAAAAAAATAATTTTAACCATACTTATTTTGATTATTACTCCGTATAAATTTAGTGTGCGAAAAAAACAACAACATGTGTTTTAGAAAGTTAATTGAGTGAAAGATTACAAGCTGAAAATGAGGATTATCAAGCAAGCTCAAAATGCTTATACCTCGAAATTTATATCCTCATGGGGCACATATCTCTGTATTTCTATTTTATTTGCATTCATGCAGTGGTTTTTAAATCATTTCAACTCTGAGACACTAAAAGTTCATTTGGTAACACTAAAATTGATTGAATTTGTTGATTCTGCTGAAATTTATGTAGTTCTGACTGAAGTAGCCGTACTGGTTGATTCTGCTGATTTATGAAAAAATTATATTTAAAATTCTTATTATTAATAAATAAAATAAAAAATTATATGGAAAAATAAGTCAAATAATTATCTACAATAACTTCATCCAATATAGCCAGAAAAGTAACTACAACCTTACTTTTTCTTATTATTACGCAGGTTAGTGCGCGAAATCAAAAGTTACGTGTTTGGTGAAAAAGCTGACTGATAAGCCAAAAAAGGAGGTCACCAAAAGAGCCCTAAGAATACAATGTCATTACGTTCTAAGTGTAAAATTAAACATAATTTATTTTGATTAAAGTTAGTACTATAACTATTGCACTTAATTATTTAAAAAGTTTCATTTATAAAAATAATCTTTATATATATTAATCATAAATATTACAGAATACATAATACCAGAATGCAATTATTTTATATATATACTAGGTACAAGGATGTTTTTACTTGGATTGTTTTCAGTCGTAGATTAGACCAAATCAGACAAAACTTGAGTTATTAATTACTTTCCACGCCCCCTTATTATTGTCCCAGATCTTATCACTTGGTCAACACAGATCACTCTCAATTTCTTACTTTATATATTATTATTTTTATCAAATTTTTGAGACTTTGTAAGGCTTTTAAAGTAGTTTCTGAATATGTATTTTTTTCTCTAAAAATGATTTTAGTGCAGACAAGGATCCGCTTGCTTTCTCATCGATTAAGCATCATATAATGCAATGCATGGTACATTAATATGGGGACAAGGGTAGTATAAAGTACATAGAGACCAGAAAATTACCAGACCAGACTAGATCAGCGCAGCTCATACCAGATTACCAGATCAGACCAGAAAATTTCAATCAACGTAAAAACATTCGTGGTTTTTGAAGTACAAAGTAAGAAAAAAACATTGTAAGACTAAGTAATACTCCCGCAATCCCTTATAAGTTTGTCAACTTTCCGTTTTTGGATGTCCCATTAACTTTGTCACTTTCCCTTTTAATTAAAGAATTTGTGATTTCACTTAATTCTCTCTTCTCATCACAAACCTTAACCGTACAATTTTTACTTTATTAATTATCATGTCGGTCAAACTTGACAAAATTATTAACGACGAAGGGAGACAAGGAGTACACCTTAATTTACCACTAGAGTAGTACTACGTATAATCTATTGAGGCCTTGAGGGTCGTTGGTTAAAGAGGCGCATAGGATACCCTTTTGATCCAAGGCTCCTTCAATACATACGCCTACCTACCATATCTCTGCCCAATGTCGTACATTTTATACATATTAAGCTGACCAAGTTATTCCTTGTTGCTTTTATATATAAAAATACTGCTTTAAAAAACTTATTGCTTTTATCATTTCATTCATACGTTTTTGGCATATAGGTTCACAATGACTGAAAAAGATCATGCCAAATGGAAGTAAGGATATTTTTACTTTTTGTTGGTCTGGTCTGGTTTCTTTGTATTTTTATAACTATCGAAGTCTGGTCTGGTCTGAACTGGTTTGGTTTGGACTGGTATGAGAGGAATTACAGTCCAAATAAAAACATCCTAAATGAAATCAAGTCTGAATCATATGTGATTCAGTTAGAGTTTAGTAACTTGGTGTACATTGTGGACACACAATTCCGTTTGCGTCATACAGACGAGTGTATGAAAGGTGTACAACAAAATGTGCATGTACACCTAGCACAACCCTTTTTCTAAATCGTATCGGAAATCGAGTAAAAATCAAACAAGATTGAATTGAATTAAAATATTCAATATAATCTTTGTTGGGGTAATTGGCCCGGTGAGAATTGGCCGAATACCCCCATGAAGAAATGGAACCAGGGGTCGCTAAGTCCGAGATCCCGCCAGGCCCATCCTGGACGCAGCCTGCACTACGTGACACTATGTCCTTGGGTCATTTACACCAGCGATCATAGAGATCTCAACCGGCAGGCTCAGTATGGTTGGCGAGAAAGTAAGAATTTTTGCAAGAAGCGCATTTAATGCACCATATATGCAAGATTTGATGGTTGATGAATAGATCACTCAAGGCCCGCCACAGCATCACTGCCACTTACCCATTGTTAGTATAAATAGTAGCATTTATTTCATTGTTAGGGGTTAACAACTTGTATTAAGTAGTTTAAATTTAGTCATTCTCTCTATTTCTTCTGTAATCACAACTTAGCTAGCTAGACTAGAGGTTCGGCCTTCGAATTAGTAGGGCGTGTTGTAATCGCTCTTAACACTTAATTGAACTCGTCTCACTCACTTTCCCTATTTTCTTCTTGCTAAGTACTTATGCCCTTGATCTGTTAACTAACCTACTAAATATATCCAACTCACCAAAACATTCTACCAAAGCCCAATGGAAAGTGTTTGACCCTTGGATCTAGAGGAATAAACATCAACAATCTTAATATGTTATTAATAAATAACAAATACGAACCAATATGATTCGTATCAAATCAAAACATATACTACGTAGTTTTCATTTGGAGCGCGTTTGGTAACACCGAAATTAACTTAATTGACTATTGAATTGACTGATTCTACTAAAATTATGAAGTTCTGGCTAAGGTGTCTCGATTGACAAATTTTGTTGATTTATAAAAATAAATTATATTTAATATATATTTTATTAATAAAATAAATAGAAAATTATATGAACATATGTTTAAATTATATTGTCAAAAACGAGATCATCAAATATTCCACTCCTAATTTCGTTGTCAAAATATTCATTATTATTATTATTACTCGTATTATTGTATGGTTTTGTGTATCAAATTAAATTTTAGAATCTTAAAATTTGATTGTTACTCGAATGTGAATATTAATGTCATCAGTACTACTATATATATGTACTAGAAATAATAAACTTCATTTCATTAAAACCTTTTTAATACGTAGTATGAGAAACAAAGAAACTTACCTGCACGGGTAGCTCAGTTGGTCGAGTGGTGGGAAAATTGGACCAAGTGATCAAAGTTCAAAACCCGCAGCGGCCGTGTGGAGGTTACTGAACCTGAAATAAGGCTGGATTTCTGGTGCGCACGTGTATAAAGTATATCGCCGCTTTGCTGACTGAGTCACCGTGATTAACTTCTCCACCATCGGGTCGGGGAGGGGGGTTTGAGGTTGGACATTCAACCTTTTGGACCAAGATCAAGGAACAGGGAAACTTGGTCAAGATGGAGGGATGGATGAAAAGAAATTCCCTATTAATGACATGAACCAAAGCTTTTTGATTGTAAGCTTTCCCAGCCATCATCCACTGAATCCTTTTCACGTGAAATGTCTCTTTCAGACGATCCGCCTACCTCATCTTTTCATTTTTGCATACTATACTTGGCTTGCTTCTTTTCTTCTTTTTTATTTACACATCAACCTATTAACTACATAAATAATGATTAATTATTACTACCTCCGTTCCAAAAAACTTTGTCATTTCAAAAAATTTGAACATTGATTTTGATTAGTATAATATTATGGAAATTATAAATTTTATACTTTTATGAAAATACTTTTAACATAGAACATTTTCATACTCCCTCCGTCCCTTAAAACTTTGTCATCTTTTCTTTTTGGGACGTCCCAAAAAACTTTGTCACTTTCCCTTTTAATCAATTATTTTGTGGATTCTGTTATTTCTCTCTCCTCTGCACCAATCTCTACCACACAGTTTTTACTTTATTATTCTCTGTGCCGGTCAACTTTGGCAAAGTTGTAAGGGACGGAGATAGTATAATTTTTGTATTATAAATAATTTTCAATAAAAAGATATAGTCAGTCAAAGTTTTGAAAATGGTAAAGAATTAATATATGGTAGTATTATACATTTGTAACTAGTTTTTTAATACCCAAACAATCTTATTGGATTCCTAAAAGAATTGCGAGTTGATAAAGAAACACGGAATACAATATGGAACATAATATTCAGTGCCAAGGCTGACAGGTACGTAGCTAGTAGATAACTATGCCTATTGCCTACCTAGTTACTTAACGGATATATAATCCGCATGCGACTTTATTCCTTGTGTGTTAACTGTCAAGTTTTGCTCAACAAGCCTGGCCTGGCTAGCCTTTTTCTCTTTTTAATATTCTTCATACTCTTTTTCCCTACACAACCTGGAGTGTTAAATCACATTCTTGATCAAAAAAAGAATTCCTTGAGGAATCTACCAACAACGTACCTTCACATCTTTCACATTATGACAACTATTTTGTTCTCCGCATGATAACGTGAACATAACAACACTCATTATCTTAATATAAAAAGGTACTACCTCCATCCTTGAAGTTTGTGACACTTTCCCGAAATGGATGTCCCAAAATGTTTGTCTTACTTTTCAACTTCCTTATTTGATAAAAAAATCTATATGAAACAGTGTCAAACGGTGCAAAACAGTGCCAAACAGTGTCGATACAGTGTAAAGTCAAATTCATCTCTTAAAACTTGTGAAGTCAAACTATGACAAACTTTTAGGAACGGAGGGAGTACAATTTTGCATTATATTTGTTTCCATCGTAATAAATGACCCTATTACTCTCACATTTTATGTATTACAATATGGAAGGTTACCCACTATGGATATTTTTACTTGGACTAGAATTTGTCGATATAGTCTGGTCTGGTCTACTCTGGTCTGATCTGAACTGCTCTGGTCTCTGTATCTTTTATATTTATTCAGGTCTGATCTAGTCTGGTCTGATCTGATTTGGTCTGGGACTGAAAAATCAGTCCATGCAAAAACATCCTATAACTATGGACAAGGTGAATGGCAAACAATATAGGTCTCCTTTACTCTTATAATTTGTATTGATTGAAAACTTTCGGTCTTATCAGATAGTCTTATTTGTTATTTTTGTATATATAGGTCTAGTGCCATTGATCTGGTTTAATAGAGGTTTGATTTATACCACCTCTGTCCCGTTATAATTGTCTCATTTTACCTTATCGGTCCGTCCCACTAAGATTGTCTCATACCAAATTTTGTAAAGTTTGTGTGGCTCTAAATCATTCTTACTTTATTTTTACTTTATCAAATCAATATCAACCACATAAATCATTTTTTATTGATTTGTGTGTCACTGCCGCTTGTCCCATAGTTAGCGGGACGAAGGTAGTATTATTTTAAAATTGTCTTAAGTTTTGATATATATTTTGATCTAATGAATGTTTGTTTTGTGTGTACTTTATACTCAATGTATTATATTATCTATGTTTTATCTTATCCACTTTTATTTATTTGGTCCTGTTATGAGATAAAGTAGTTCAATTAAGAGTAACACTGAAATTGGGTGAATCAATTTAATTTGCTAAAATTGATAGATTTCTGACTGAAGAGGAGGAATTGACTAAAAACTTTTGAATTTTGGATAAAGAATATTTATAATATATTTTATAGAAAAATAAAAAAGAAGTTATATGAAAAATAATTAAAATGATTTTGTACAGTAACTCCATCCTTAAAAGTAACATCAACCTTACTTAGTTACTTATTTTGATTATTACACAATTCAACACTCATAATCAAGAGTCACGTGTTTGATAAAAGTGTTGAATGATAAGCCTCATAAGCTAAAAATGGAGTTACCGGCCAACAGATTCCTAAATATGTATAATGAATGCATTATCTTTTCAATTCAGAAAATAATTATCACCATCTTGGTCCATGTTGCCATTGGTGATCCTTATCAAATATACAGGGAATGCCCTTTGTCGAGTACCATTCTTAAAACCAAGGGTATCTTAGGCCGACAAAACTAGTTTGTCCTGATCATACACACTTATTTTGAAGGGAAAACATAAGCGCCCCTACTTTGGATTATTTGTTTAACTCCTATGAAATTAAAGGCTGTGGTGCAGTGCCATCTTTTGTCCCTATTAAAAAACAGCAATTCTTTGTGTACATAATATTTGTAAACATTTGACGCACACTTCTATATAATTGTTTGTGTAAATGAACAATCATTGTACGATCTGCCTGTGTACATGTAACTAGGGAGTATATACATTATATGTATGCAAAAATAATGTTAGCGAAATATATGGGCTTGGCCCATTTGTATTTACCTAGATATGTTAATACGGGCTGAGGGCTCATTTTAGGTAGATGACTAACCCTTTGATTGTAATTAGCTTGTATAAATACCCTAAACAATCTAATGTATAGAGCACCTAATTCTTTACCAAATACTACGTGTTGGGATAATGGGCCAGGTCCAATACTATCGACCCAATATGTCTGGACTCGGGCGCGAACCAGGCCTATCACACGGTCCGGCTAGATAATATGGTCCTTGGATTGATTGGTTTAACTCTGGGGCCGACCAGCCCATTGGCCTTGGATCAGGCTTCTTGTTTTAGTTGTTTAATTGGGCCAAGCCCATTAGCATTTGACAAACCTCTTGTAAGCGCTTATAAATAGGCCGCCCCTCCTTTTGTATTGGATAAGTCACTTTTACTGTACTGAATTGCTGCCGAATTTTCTACTCAACATATTTTCTACCAACATTGGTGCTTTCATTGAGAGCTGAGTTGTTCTCTCAGTTTTCGGTAGAATCTTTGAGGAGGAAAATGGCAGGATCATCAAGGCAAGAGCGAGTTTCCATTCACATTGAGCATTCAGAACAACCCAATGGCCATCGTGTGAGAAGCCAGGTGGTGAGACCGATAGGAGATCTCCGGAACCATTTGTCGAGCTCAGGGGACCTGAGGGGTTCGCTGAGCCGTAGTCATGACAGACAATCCATTCATGATCGGATTGGAGGTCACCGTCGTCGGGCTCCGCGCACGAACCGACTTGACGCTGGAGTGCGGGCGCTACAGGAGACCACGCGTGCCATTGGGGCTTTGGCTCAGAATTTCCAGGGGATGATGCCGCAGAGAGCTAATCATTAAACTCCGAGGCACGCCGCCCCTGAAGACATCGAGACTTCCTATGGGAGATATGAAGGGCGACATACTAGTTTGGACGAATCACGAAGGGAATCCTTACCCCGGAGGGAGCATATGCCCCGACGGGTCGAGCAGCCTCGACGACCTGGAAGAGGAGGGCCCCACCGAGACTCGTCACTGGAGGGCGGGGATGACTTCTCTCATCACCCCCCCCCCGTCTGAGCGGTCGAACCGGTTCCATAGAAGGCCCCCGTGGTGGCCGTCGGCCTCACGTGCGTGAAAGAGTCGCAGAATCCTATGTGCGGGTCCAGCCCCGTGCTGGGCGCGTGCCAGAGGAACCGGCGCCGGAAGCTGTGGAGGATCTCAGACTGAGGTTGGACGAGCTAAGGAGGAGGGTTGTTGGGGGAGAGTCATACGTGGTCGACCTCCATATCCCGGAGCCCTTCACTCGTGCCATAATGGAGGCTCCGTTGCCAAGGGGCTACAAACCTTGCAATGTGGATACTTACAAGGGCACTTCAGACCCGCAACACCACATATCACGTTAGCTGTCATATATGGTCATAATGGGGCACGAAGATGCCATACGATGCAGAGGATTCGCGGCTACTCTAGATGGCCCGGCTCGTGAATGGTATGACACGCTACCCGATTCGCCATTTGATTTGGGGGAGCTATCCGACTGTGAGGCAATGTCCACTACAGGGGTGACGTTGTTGGAGGATGGCACGAACTGGTCATGTGGCCCCCCCGGAGCAGGCCGAAGATGTCCCTTAACGATCACGATCCGCGTAGCAGGTCTGTCCAACCGCGAGGAGGTGGTGACCTTTTCATGCATCGAAAAATTATCGGAGACCCCTTGATTTTTCCCTGATGCCCCGAATTCGGGCTGAGACGTTGCATTCACCCCGTTGGCTTGAATTTGTTTAACCGAGCCTCCACGCACGGACTCTTTCCCCACCTCGCCACGATGGGCTCGTGCAACCAAGTTCCCAGACTGTGGCAGTGCGTCCGCCTCGCCCAGGGGGTCTCGCGCAGATGATATTTGACCCGCTGGAGGTTGCTGGGACTGTTTGACAGACGGACGACGTTCACGGGTGGAGAGGGCACCATGATGAGCTCCGTGTCGTGAACTGTGTTGAGAACCTGTGCGTAGGCTTGGAACAGGCGGCGATGATGACCGTGAATCGTTGGGTTTTTTCCGACCGCCTGGGCTACGAGATCGCGACGGCGAACAACGTCGTGAATGACCCTCCCTCCGGCGCGACGGAGAAGGGGAGCCGCTGCGTTTCCTTCGCCAACAGGGGATGGAGCGATGCGGCGATGCCGTGGCTGCGGCTGGAACGGCTGAAGCTGAGGGGACCTGCATGGCTGAATTGCGCGTGGATGATCGAGGGTGTTAAGGCTAGGCCACACTCGGATTCAAGGAAATTAAAAGAATATGGAAAGAAAAAAAAGGGAAGGAAATTATTAATTTAGGAAGCTCCGGGTTATTTTAGGAAGCTGGCCTGGGGTTTCTGTGACAGAACGCGAAGGCTTGGATGGGATTCCAACCCTGGTTGCGGGGTTCTTTATTGGTCGGGTGTGCGGCTAAAGCCCAAGTATATCCGTCGCATGGTCAAAGGGGCCGATCAAGGCCCGCAAAGAATGGCCTCCCTATGGGCCAACGATTACGTTGACGAGCACCCCAGACTGCTACAATGGAGGTGCGACTAGCCAGCCGATCCGATAGACGAACCGATCGTTGATCAGCTTGACTACTCCCTTCTAGCCGAGTCTGCTACTCGACTAGGGGAGTGGGGGACTCATGTTGGGATAATGGGCCAGGTCCAATACTATCGACCCAATATGCCTGGGCTCGGGCGCGAACCAGGCCCAGCACACGGTCCAGCTAGATAATATGGTCCTTGGATTGATTGGTTTAACTCTGGGACCGATCAGCCCATTGGCCTTGGATCAGGCTTCTTGTTTTAGTTGTTTAATTGGGCCATGCCCATTATTAGCATTTGACAAACCTCTTGTAAGCGCCTATAAATAGGCCGCCCCTCCTTTTGTATTGGATAAGTCACTTTTACTGTACTGAATTGCTGCCGAATTTTCTACTCAACATATTTTCTACCAACACTACGTATTATTTTCCTTATACGGCTCTGCCGTTCCTAGCAAATAATTACATACGATGTGTATCAGGTTTATACAAATTTCATGTACAAATAGAAATTTTCCTGAAAAATAACAATAAAAAGTAAACCAGCTTATGTGATACTCCGTACAAAAGAGCATGTTTATGATAGCTATATAACCAGCAGATTATGCGTTTCTTTTTAATACCGTAAGCTATATTTTTTTGATTTTTTTTTAATAATTATGATTATTAATAAGCTATTTTGAAAAACAAATTTTGGTTATGATTCTGATAATTATGTCTAAAGCCAAGTCTTGTGAGTTTGACATACATTTCATCAAACTTCTTCCAACAAAACATTTTTTATTATGATTAGTATTGTATACGTATAACCAGTGGGTAAAATAACTTTGGCATCAAGCTTGATGCCTTGATCGATGAATATGCTAAAATATCTTTAGTTATGAATGAATTTACTTGATCTATAAATCTCTTCACTCAAGAAAAAACATTTTAAGAAAAAATTATTGATAAAATATAAGAAAAATACCTTGGCAATTTCAGCCAATCCTACCAACGCATATATTTAAAAAAAAGATAGTATCTGATAAAAATTGACTTGAAAATGTTCTGTGAAGTTGTACAGAGTTGAATATTAAAAACAATGATGTTCGTACAGTTTTAGGGAGTTATTACAAGTGCACTCTGCACAAGCTACAAAAAAACAGATGCAGTTATATCTTCTGATCTGAATGTAGGGTAGAAAATTCAAATATATTTTTATATATTTTGTATTTAAAATAGCCGCAAGACAGTAAATAAGAAAGATACGGCTGTCTGCCTTGAAATGGTGAAGATGGGCAAGGGGCATTAATAATGGTCAGAGAAGGGAAAGCGATAACCAGAAGAGATGGCATTCCATTTTGGGATCCATGTGTTCTTTGTCTCAAGGACAATGCAGATTCTGGGAGCATAGAATAGAATCATATGTTCTTTCTTCATCTCCTAGTCTCTAATCCTGTGGAATCTAATAAATCACAATTAGAAGGAAAGAAGCAAGGAATCAAAAGATCCTCTTCTGGGCACCTTTGGATCAGATCCCTACCATCTCTCCACTGTCCGTTGAGATACGCTCATACGCCACACCGAGCATATGAAGGCGGTCCAGACTCGTCTGACCACAGGACCAAACCGAACTCGCCTCGACTCGTTTTATACACAAAAATTGAGATGTATATTCACATGTATTGCTACCTCTGGAAAGCCATAATAATAATAATCTAACAACGATTTTACCGGGAAGGAAATCAGGAATACAAGCTCATTCAGCCAAAATTTGGAGTAGATACATTCATGTATCATCATTCTTAAGTCCAGAATTTTACAAAAGCAGTGTACAAGGACTTCATTAAGCCCACCACAGGATTGGTTTCTGATTTGCTGGGTTCTTTCGTTGCGCTCTTCTGTGTTTCACTGCATGAATAAAAGTGCATCCACAAGAAAATAGAATTTAAAAAACTGATTGTAATAATCCCAACTATTGGCGGTCCGCTAATAATAATCCCAACTATCAATTATCTCAGAATAATCCCAACTTTAGTGACCTTCCGCCAATAATGGTCCGACATGACCGGCTATAAATAAATTATAGGCCCAGCCCCCACCTTGTGTATCTAAGTCAACTTAGCCGACTTAAGTCACTGGACAACTTAGGTGATTTTTATTGTTTTTCAGTTTTTGCTTTGATTTCCGCCAGTCACAGTGATATGTTTCACAACAGCATTGACATCCGTTAATGACATGAAATTCTAGTGAGTGCATAAAAATATGACGGTGACGTCATGTTTTTTCAAATATATTACCTTGTTAGTCACTTAGTCGCATTTTTGTCTGTCCATATGTGAAAGTAGTCATTGTTTAGGAAATGAGTTTCAATTAGTCGTATTTAAGGAAAACCCCTTTATTTAATCGTTCCTTTCACCTTTTTGTGATTTTTTTATTTATTCCATTTCGTAATTTGGCAAGTTTTACTACTACTGTTATTATTAACTTACATAGATATCATTACTTTGTCATCTTCTCTACATAAATTACTACCCCCTACAGAATTTCTACATCTGTATCTCCGAAAAAACTACAAAATAACCACACCCTCTGTTCAGCCAGTGGGAGTTTGACAAATTTGACCCATACGTGGTATGAGAAAATAATCCTTCCTGTGTTCTTTTTTTAGTTGCAACGTTTCCATTTTCACGTTTATCAACACACAAGTTTGACCGTTAATATATTTTGTTCCTTGATAGTAAGAAACTAAAACATTTAGATTTTGAAAATTTAAAATGATACGAATTTGACAATATTATCAAAAAATCAATTTATAATACATTAATAAAGAAAACGTAGTCAAAGTAGAGCATGCGAATAGTTCTAAATTCAACATGTTGCAATTATAAAGAATTGAGGTAGTATTAACAACCAATTAGTTACTTTAAAGGAAAGTGACAAAGAATTTTAAATAATAAAAAGGAAAGTTGGCAAATTCAAGTGGAACGGAGGTAACATCAATAGATAAATTTCCCTAAATAAGAGTAAAATAAAGTGATTTCCTAATAAGAGTAGAAACAAAGTGATTTTCCTAAATAGAGGTGTTGTATTCTTTTGCTTGAATAGGAGTAAGTACTCCCATTTTGAAATCATAATATCGTATTTTGACATTAATATTTGTCAAACTAATGACAATAGTGCCATAATATGGCAGTATCATTTCAGGATGGCGGTATTTAACTCCTATTTAGATGTGGAAAATATAGTAGTACCATTGTTTAGCGAAATCACCTTGTTTTTACTTGTATTTTGGGATATTTCCTATTTTCCTAATTAATAATATAACAGAGGGGGTACAATTTTTAGGTGTCTTGGTAATATGATATGTTCTCATTTTGGGGGAAACAAACAAGAAAAAGTGTTTGGCATATTTGTTATTGTTTTCAGTTTCTAAATTAAAACCAGAACTTTGAAATTTGTTAGAAGCCGGAACTTCTTGTTTATTTAATTTTTTTGAAAACATTATCCAATTTGGACATTATTTACTACGTATAAAACAGTGTATTCCTCCTGTTCCAAAATAAACCTCATTTTTTCATTTTTCCCATGTCAAAGAGATTTATGTGATTAATTTCTCTTCTCTAACCAATGTTGAACCACACTATTTTCACTTTATTAACCCTTGGGCCAAGTCAAAACAAAAGATACTAACACGACGAAGAGTTTCTTTTCTAGATCAAGTGTGCAAAACTTATCTACACAATAAATCTGCAAAAATATATCTACAAAATATTCTAAATTTAAAACAAAACAAAATTTAAATAAACAACAAACAAATATAAAACAATATATGACACGTTAAATGAACCCTAAGACTAAAAACGTTTGTGTATTTCAAAATACGACCGTCATGTTTGTATTCTCTAAATAGGAGTGGTTGCTGTCATATTTTATCAGTACTAGGCTATTAACATGGCAGTAATTTCCAAGCTTGGCGGTAATTACTCCTAATTATGGAATAAAAACATGACGATCCTATTTTGGAATTCTCAAACGTTTTTACTCCTATTTGAGGAATTTTCCCTAATAATATTTCTTAAAAGCACTTCAAGCCTCAAGGTACTTACACATTCACTGGAGAAGTGCGATCTTTCAGGAGTGTATCAGCTTGTGGAGCAGTAGGTGTCTTGTTGATTGTAAGAGATTCCTCAGAAACCAATATTTTGTGGGAACTGCCATTTGAGCTCTGCAGATACAAGAGAAGTTAACTATTTGCAAGCACCGGAGTATTGAGTTTTAAGATAATTCAATCTAAGAAACAAAAATTACATGTAAAATGATTGATTTTATATTGTCTAATCCATTGAGTCTTCAATATTCAATAACTGAATGAGGGACTGAGGAAGATATAATCATTTGATGAATTGGCATTAACTTTTCACTTGTTAATCACCATGGAATAAGCAATGCACGTCAACTTATTGTAGCTTATTGTAGGTAAAAATATGATAATATTCTCTCCACCCCCCAAGATACACATATATTCCATTTAAGTCAGTCAGCACACAAAGATACTCCAGTTTCTATATTAGGCATATGTATAATTTTCTATTTTCAGGCTTATCCTTGTTATAACTGGAAAGTTCTAAGGTACCCAATAAAATTAAAGTACTTATGTATCTTGTCATTATCAAATTGACGTGATAAAGATCTAGTTTCTTGGACTTATTTCAGTCCAATCCAGATCTGACCGGATTAGACCAAATTTAAACGGGACACGCCAGAACAGACTTAAAAAGAGCAAAGCAAAAAAATACTAGCATTAAATAATACTCCCTCCATTCTTCAATAATAGTCTCCTTAGGTTTTTTGTGATTGTTTAAGAAGAAAATAGTAGGGGTGGTATAGAGGAGGTAGGGTAAATGAAAAAGTAGGAAAGAGAATATATTAAAAACAGTAAAGTAATGATAAAGTAGGAAAGATAAGGTGGTATGTAAAAAGTAAAAAGGGGTAAGGGTAATAAAAGTGAGGTATAAAGGTATTTTGATTGAAAAAACTTACTAAAAAGGGAAAGAGACGACAACAACAACAACAACAACAACAACATTCAAGCCTTAGTCCCAGAAGATTTTGGGGTTGCCTAACATGAATCAATACATCATATCACCACCAAAAGGAAAAGAAAGAAAAGAAAGATAAAAAGATAATATAAAAAGAGATGGATATACATAAAAAAGATAGAATAAAAGGGATAAAAAGAATATTTATATATATATATAGATAAAAGGATAAGAATAAACAAGAAAAAGAAGATGAGGGGGAAAAGATGATAAGAGATCTCACATGAATGCTCGTTCTCCACTTTGCTCTCTCCAAAGTCATACCCTCATACAAGACGGTTATTAGAGAACGGAGGGGAGTAATAAAATACATATTGTATCAAAGCAAAAGAGACCACACAAGATCTCACTTAAAAGACCAAACCAAACCAAAGAGAACTCAACCACATAATTTCATCTTCTCAATAAGCGCTTCAAGTTGACACAGGAAGAGAATTTCAGGACAGACAGTGTTCTTTTAATTAATAATTTTATTAGTATATTTGTTATAATACAAACTAACAAATAAGTTATGCAGTTCTTGTTTAATACTTACTTTGTTTATAAAACCTGATAACATTCTAATATTATATAAGTCTGAAGTATCCAAAGATAATCTAAAAGCCTCTGAAGTTCCAAAAACTCCATTTTGTCACTAGTAGAAATTAAACTCCATGTAATGGAATGTGAATTTGAAACTCTAAAAAGCTCCAAACAGAGTGCCATCCAAGTGATCTAGAAAGCTTCCTTTAGAGCTTTTAAAGCTCTAAATGCTGTAAAAACACTCCCAGATGGATCCTATATGTATGCAAAAAGCATACCTCAATTGTAGCAGCATATGTATCCTCAGCATTCACAGTACCACTTGCTAATTTGTCTCTAGAGGAAGTTAAATTTTGCAAAGATGACTCTCCAAACTCCTGATGCACTGTTTCCTTATTCACAACATCAGTTTTTCCTTCCACTGCTTGACTTTCAAGAGTTTCAGAAACCTTTTCATTCACCAAAGCATAAGATTTTTCAAAGAAGTCCCCCCTGTCCTGTTCTCTCTTGGTTCTAATGGGAGCATCACCTGTTTTTTCTTCAAAATTATCAATTGGTATAGAGGTGGCCTTTGAGGGAAACTTTTCAACTGCAACATCAACAACACTTGAAGCTTCGAGCACTTCTATCCTTTCAACATTCCTTTCATGTATGTTTGGTTCTTGAAAAATACTAGAAATACAGAGTAAGAAGGAAAGCATAGAAGAACGTTAAAAGAAGATCAAGTGTGGGAAAATAAAAAGAGACTAAAATCAATAGTTTTATTTAGATATTGATTGATATTCGTTTTATTTATTTTCTAAAGATCTATGCGTGTGAAAAATATTTTAAAAACTTATCAATTTCATTTTACATATGCATTTTCCAAGGTAAAATCAAACATAAAAAAACATAGTTTTTCCTTGCATTTTCCCTCTTTCCTTGCATTTTCCATGACTATACATACCTTTCGGGAATTTCTCTTTCCAGTGACTCTGTATAAACTGGTAGTCCACTTGCTTTGTCTTTATCATCTGTATTGTCACATCCTAATGAAAAGCGTTCCAGGGAGATTTGGTCAGGATGGTCTTCAGGATGTAGCTTAGTGGGACCCAAAACTTTGTTTTCTTGGATAATTTCTCGAACAATTTGCCGTACTATGTAGTATGAGCCACCAACTTCCTTGTGTGTGAGATTAATTGTAGGGAAGTTCCCGCAGTTTGACTTCTGATATCTGTCAGCAGCAGGATTTCAGAGAAATTATTAATAAGGTCATCCAATTGGGCTATGTCTGGGGATTTTGTTTTGGAAGGTTTTGAAGGCGAGGGGGGATTTTTAGTTATTTAAATTGACAAACTTTTCAAATAAAAATATAAAAGAAGATGATATATTATAGACTCAATGTTATAGTCGTTCATTTATGAGCATAAACCGTAAAGTGTTGTGTATTTGTGTGACCATTGAAATGATTATAAACCCTCCCCGAGCTTTGGTGCACTCATTAAAGTGTTGTGTATTTGTGTGACCATTGACCAAGAGGTCACAATTTCAAAGTCTTGGGAGCGGCCTCTTGTCAAAAGTAAACAAGGGAAGGGCTTATCCCATATACACACTTGTAACGGGATCCTTCCCAGACCCTCACCATATGGTAACGCCAATGTGCAATGGGCTGTCCTTTAATAATACCTCCACTAATTTCAGCCTCCAAACCCCTACAAAATCAAACTCTCAACAGGCACTTAGTGTCTGAGAATGGAATGTTTCTTTCTCAGTCCACTCCGACTGTGAAGTCATTTCTGTTTATGATTTATGCAAGTGCATAAAGGGAAAATGAAGAAAAAGAAAGAACAGAACCCTACCCCCCTATGAAAAAACAAATTGCAAAGTCAAAAAAGTAAAATCAAGGATGAGTTTACTTCTTTATAAAGGTCTCAACCATAGATTTTCTCTCCTCCTTCGAACGCCTAATCCCTGCCTTCCGTCCTCTAGAATTATTGCAAGTAACAAGGGCAAAGGTTCGCATCGAGCGTGCAGCCTTTATTGCGTGCATGTTTTGCTACTACAAACAGAGATCCATAAAATTTAATCAGCATGATCATCTTACCATACATTACAACAGAATAATATTTAAATAGTACTCCATAATTTGAAGGGAAAATTATTATTAGCCCCCTGAGGTTATGCCATAATTATTAATGCAACCTTGCATTTTCAAAAATCAATTAGTTACCCCCTAAGTTTTGATCATTTTCACTGTTTTCCCCTTCACGTTAATATTTATTAAATTAAATTTAATAAAACTCTTAAATTCAATACAAATTATCTATAAAATTAAATTTTAAAGTAAATCACAATTTATTATCATAATTACAAGTCATTGTTGTTTACCGTTATTTTTATGCTTAGTTACTCAATGTGGAATAATGAAAATAGTTAAGGGAAAAGACTCACGAGTAAGATACTATAAAATAGCATGAATTTTATACTTTTTATTTTTAAAAATTAAATATCATTTAAGTTTATTAAACTAATAAACTTTTTGTGAAGAAGAAATCATCAAAACTAGTACTCCCTCCGTCCCGAAATAATCGTCCTGTTTTGACCTTCACACAGATTAAGAAAACAAAGTTGACTTCACACTGTAGCGACACTGTTTGGCACTGTAGCAGCACTGTTTGGCACTGTAGCGACACTGTTTGGCACTGTGTTGCACTGTTTGACACTGTTTTGCATAGATTTGTTTACCAAATAAGGAAAGGAGACAATTATTTCGGGACGGACCGAAAAAGAAAGCAAGACAATTATTTCGGGACGGAGGAAGTATTAGAATTAATAAAAAATTAAACAAATCAAAATCTATGATATAATTTTTAGTTCTTAGATTGATAGATTTCATTTGTACAGGTCCTATATCGATACATTTTTGTCTTTTAGGTCTTTTATTAATACTAGAGCAATCTTTTAGCCCATGGATTGATAAAATTCATTTTTTCTTGGTTCTTTTCTACACACGAAAGAAGTGTCATTGATTCTCTGTCTTAACCAATTTGATCAATATTTATTCCAAGATCGAGTAGCTAAGTAAAAAAATAACGATAAAAAACAATGACTCATAATTATGATAATAAATTGTGTTTTACTTTAAAAATTAATTTCACAGACAATTTTCATTGAATTTAAGAGTTATATAAAATTAAATTTAACAAATATTAACATGAAGCGGCATATAGTGAGAATGATCAAAACTCAGGGGGTAACTATTTGATTTTTGAAAATGCAAGGTTGCATTGATAATTATGGCATAGCCTCAAGGGGGCTAATAATAATTTTCCCTAATTTGAATATAAGAATCATGTGCTAAATGCAATTTATACATTTTTTAAAATGCAATGATTTCATGGTACAAGTTGAAAAATGAAAAAATGTCAAAACAAACTTGGCGTCCGACAAACCAAATTACTAACTTCAGTACTAAAGTGAGGGTCACAAATCTGGTGACTCATGGGATTCCCCTGACAAAGCAGTGCTACGAACAGTAGATAGAGGATTATGGCAGAAAGCAAAAAAATGCTATGCAAGTATAGCGGATATTGTTGTGGTAAATAGCAGAACTGTGGAAGCATAGATGAAATAGGAGTAAAAACATTTGTGTATTCCAAAAATAGGACTATCATGTTTTATTTCCTAGGAGTAATTATTGTCATGCTTTGGCATTACCAAACTTTAAGTATGGCAATATTTTCCAAACTTGGCAGTAATTACTCCTATTTAGGAAATAAAAACATTACAGTCTTATTTTAGAATTCTCAAACATTTTTACAACTATTTCAGGAATTTTCCCTAGTTATATTTAAGTATCATAAGAGATGTAAGCATTAAAGTATTAAAGTAACAAAATATGAAATATTCAAGTGAAATTAAAATATTTAGAAACTTAGAATTAAACACAAAATCATAACACAAAACTAGTAAACCACCATGGTTCAAAGTTTTCTCACATGGAAGTCTAGGTAAACTGAATAACAAGTCAAACTAAAGTACCTTTTACATAATATTTGGAAGTCTATATAAAACAGCTGTGACATGATTCAATTTTCATATCCTCAATCACAATACTCCCACACAGGGTCATTTGCGTTCTTGGTTTTTGAAGAAGATTGTGACATCATGGTATTTGAAAAATGCTGTATTTAGAAAGTTTCAGTTAAAAAACAAAGAGGCTTACATAGCAATTGAGGTGACAGAGAATGGACTCGGAATCTAACAGGTGGTCTGATACAAGTATGTCAAGTCCCTGATGAAGTAGAAAAGATGCTAGACTGATAGGAATCAGGCCCATTAGAATAAGAATAGAAATAATAACAACAATAAATGTAAAGACAATATAAATAGCTTGGAAAGGGGAGTTAGTAGTAGGCTGTTTAGACTCATTTGGTCTGGGACTGGGAAGTTGGAGTTTATCTCCTTCTTTGGGACTGTGTACTCGGATTCTCCATTAATGAAGCTTTCAGTTTTCTTAGTTGCCATTCTTCTGTTTGTTAGTGAACTTCTGTAATTGCTAGGGTTCCTAACATTGGTATCAAAGCCACGTTGATTCTGTGGATGGAAGTGACGCCTTTGAAGATGGATTTATGGATGAACGAACTGGAGGAGAACCAAAAGAGATTGAAGGAAACATTCGAGAGGAATCAACAACGAAATCAACAACAGATGAAGGAGATGCTTAAGACGATGCAGGCAACGATCGCGAAATTGGCGGAGCAACATCAAAGTCGTTCGCGAAGTGGATCGCATGCCTCCTCTGCTTCGCATCGCTCCTCGCACAGTACCTCACACCATAGTCATCGTTCGTCGCTATCGCGCACAGGTTCGCAGTCAGAGTCGCGAACTACTTCCCATGGCTCGCAATCGCGAACTTCAGGTTACTGTTCACAGTCGCGAAACAGATCACATATGTCGCACACTTTGCACCATTCAAATCCTTCTTCGTATAGCTCTTCGCAAAGTTCTTCGCAGGCAGATTCGCGAAAGGTTTCTTCGCAGAGTTACTTCCCACCCACTCAGAGTTCGCCTCCTTCGTCTAAAGTCTCTTCTCGGAATTCAGCTAGGTCAAAGACGGATGAATTACCTCTATTCCACGAGGTTGAAGCGTACGCATGGATAGAGAGGATGGAAAGATATTTCTGAGTCCAAGCTATTGCAGAAAGATTTAAAGTGGACCTTGCAGCAAAGGCAATGGGGGAAGCTGCAGATGGCTGGTTTCAATGGTGGGATTTTCAAAAGAGAGAAGATAGTTGGGAGGCTTTAAAGGAAGATTTGATCAGGGATTTTCCACCTAGATACCGGCAGAAGACATGGAAGACAGCAAAACCAGAGTCATCGAGGTCTTTGCACATCTCTTCGCATAGCTCTTCTCATAGCTCTTCGCATCAACATTCAAAAAACTTGTTGCAAGTAGGAGCTCTCACCTCGCAATCGCCAGTTCTGTCAAAAGTTAATTCTCAATCTGCACAAGATTTTTCCCAGTCAATAAAGAAGATTATGGAGACAAATGAATCTGTAATCAAGAAAGTGAATAAGAGAGAGGAAATCAAGGAGAAAAGACCAGTTAGTCCATGGCCAGATTATGTTTCTTTTAATCTTGCAGAGGATGTGGATTTAAATTCCAGCCAAGTTTCGGTTACTGACAAGCTTATCCAACCATGTTCCTTTGGAACTAGAGTTCTAATGATTTCAGAAACTAGTACAGAGGCTCAGGAGGAGGAGGTTGATGACAAGCCAGGGGTTGAGAGCATGTCAGGCTACTCCCAGCTTGTCTTACAAGATTCATTTAAAGCACCTGGAAATTATCTCATGTTGGAAGACATCTCTACAAAGACAGCTCTATTCTTTCCTGATGTTTTTGAACTCATCACAAGGTTAATACAGAGAATGACCCTTAAGAACTACCAGCTAGCTCTAGGCGAAGTTGTGGATACATCAAAATTATCAAAGAATCTCTATGGTGATCCGTTCCATTCTATGGCAAGATTTTCTGGAATGCCAGGAATTGTTATTTCTTCTGAATTTGCATTGGAGCTTCCTGATTTTCAGCTGATGGGTGCATTATACAAAGAAACAAAGCCTAATCTTAAAGTTGACAGCAAGGTGTGCAGTATAATGGAACAAATGTTACTTTGGGGTCATGATGGGGAAATACAATTGGAGATTGTTGAAGTCTTAAATTCAGAAAGAGAAATACAGCATGACTCAAGTTCTCTTAAACTTTCTTCTGACCTGAGTGAGGATGAAGTTTGGTATGAGCTATTCAGTGTGAAGTCTCACTCAAGAGATAGGATGAAATCAGAGGCAAATACTGTGCTAAGGCTGATCAAGAATTTTCCATCTAGAAGACTAGAAGTATGGGAACTGCTGCTACCGCCATCAGCGAGGTACTGGGAAGGGAGAGGAACCCGGAGGAAGCTGAATTCCAAGCTTGGTTTCTATCTCCCCACCTTGAGGACAAGGTGGATGTTTAGGGGGGGAGTATTGATAGGAATCAGGCCCATTAGAATAAGAATAGAAATAATAACAACAATAAATGTAAAGACAGTATAAATAGCTTGGAAAGGGGAGTTAGTAGTAGGCTGTTTGGACTCATTTGGTCTGGGACTGGGAAGTTGGAGTTTATCTCCTTCTTTGGGACTGTGTACTCGGATTCTCCATTAATGAAGCTTTCAGTTTTCTTAGTTGCCATTCTTCTGTTTGTTAGTGAACTTCTGTAATTGCTAGGGTTCCTAACATTCCATGATTCCGTGAGACTGTAATGATAAACAAACGATCGGGGGTAGACAGGGGCTTTTTTCATCAAATAATGAAATAAATGCAAATAAGTAAACTAAAATAAACCAGCTAGGCTGATAGATAGGTTTTTTGAGTTTAATTAAATTAAAAGCATACTTAAAATGAGTCAGCATGAGTTAGAATAGTTAAAAGATGGGCAAAAGATTCACAGCCGACCATAATCCGCCATAGCGCCCACCACAATCCACTATAGCGGCCGCGTTGCAGCGCTATGGTGAATCCGCAACGCCACCACTATGGCATGAGGGTTCCCTCAAAATCTGCGACCGCGATCCGCTATACTGCCGCTATATCTATTTGGCAACACTGTTAGGGGGAGCTAAACGCTGAGTCCAAATCACAATTAACTTAGTATATAAAGCTATTTTATGCATCAAATTACACCAATAAGGGTGAAAAAACAAAGTAATCGTCTTTTTAAATTTCTAGTGGTTTTGCTCCTGTTTCAACAAAGATAAATTTTACAACAAAATGAGACATGTAGTGATGTAAAAGAAGTGTACTGTGAAGAGGACCGAACGGCATACCCGAATCAAGAACTGGCAGGCTTGGCGAACTTTGATTTTTCTGAATAGCAAAGCCGCCGGACTTGTCACTGCTGGTGCAGTGGAGGGTCGGAGCCTAGAGGCAGGAGCGTGGCAGTCTGGGCTGGAAGCAAAACCCCTGGAGCCTGAAGGCTGCCTTGACTCTTGAGGGCTTTTCTTCTGTGTTGGCCGCCCTCTGTTCAGATGGGGGAGGGGGGGGGGGGGGGGGGGGGGGGGGGGGGGGAACTGTTTTCAGATTGCTACGAAAAGGCGAAAAGGGTTGAAGCCTTCGATTTTTGAGTAATAGGTACCCCAAAATTGGATACTCATTCTTACCCCACCTCGGCGCCACTTAATTTGATTCGGTTTTAGGTTTTCTGACCCGGCCCTAAACTCAGCAACCGACTGCTCTTTCCCTCCCCGTGCGCCCGTACTATACTAGTACTCCGTATAAAGTCAAGCTCTTCCTTTCATCTTCTCGCCATTTTCTCAGTTGCTGTAAGCTTTGGTGGCTAGTCCGTTATTATACGGAGTATTTCGATTTGCTCAGCGGCGCAACCCAAATTCCCAAAAAAACCAAGAGCCGGAACTCGGAAGCCTGAGGATTTGGAATTCGGCCGCCGGCTGGAAAGAGTTTGGGATTAAATTCAACCTTGGGACTGACAATTATAAATACTTATTAACATGTACACTCCACTTTGACCTTTCTGCTTTAAAAATCTTTTTTTTTGGTGTCTTGGATTCGTGAAGTAGATAAATGTTTACGTGGTACTTGGTACTTCATTCGACGGCTGCCTCGCCTCACGGCGAAGTTTCCCTCTGTTTTTACAACATCAAATCGAATGTTACGACGTGTACCTTTTATCCTCCAACCGAACTCCCACATTTCCCTCCACTCTGAAGATGTTTACAGTCGAATATTAGACAAATTCCCAGATATCAAGACACTAGGACAAATTCATTCCAGGATCATCTTTGACCCAACCCTATGCCCAAACACGTCCATCCACATCAAATTGATGCGAGCATATGCTGCTTGTGGCCAGACTAATACCGCACGGCAGCTGTTTGACAAAATCTCCATTAAAAATGTCGTGGTTTATAATGTCATGATCAGAAGCTATGTCAACAACCGATTTTATGAAGATGCTATTTTGTTGTTCAAAAGCATGCATATGGATGGTATTCAGCCTGACCGTTATACCCTTCCGTGCATTCTGAAAGCCTGTTCAGTTTCTGAGAATGTGTGGTTAGGGGTGCAACTACACGGCCCAATTGTAAAGAACGGCCTTGATTCGAATTTATATACAGGGAACGGTTTGGTGGCCATGTATGGGAAGTGTGAGTTTTTGGCTGAGGCTAGGCGGGTTCTTGATGAAATGCCTCAAAGGGATGTTGTTTCTTGGAACTCAATGGTTGTAGGATATGCTCAAAATGGAAGCTTTGATTATGCATTAGAGGTTTGCAAGGAAATGAACTTCTTGGGTCTGAAACCTGATGCTGGGACAATGGCTAGCCTTTTGCCAGCTGTAACCAATACATGTATGGACAATGTTGCATTTGTGAGGAACATGTTTCTGGATATGGACAAAACGGATTTGGTATCCTGGAATGTGATGATGGCTGTATATGTCAAGAACTCTATGCCTAAAGAGGCCGTCGAAACATACTTACAAATGGAAGCTTCTCCCGTAGAGCCTGATGCAATATCTTTTGCTACAGTTCTTCCTTCTTGTGGCGACCTTTCTGCTGTGTTGTTAGGAAAGAGAATTCATGAAAAGGTCAAGATGACTGGACTTCACCCTAATTTATCTCTTGAAAACGCTCTGATTGATATGTATGCTAGGTGTGGGTGTTTGTGTGAAGCAAGGGAAGTTTTTGATCTCATGGAGTTTCGAGATGTTGTGTCATGGACTTCCTTGATCAATGCTTATGGTATGAGTGGACATGGTCAAGATGCGGTTTATTTGTTTTCGAGAATGCTTGAATGTGGTCCCAAACCGGATTCCATTGCTTTTGTCTCTATCCTTTCAGCATGCAGTCATGCAGGACTCTTAGAAGCAGGAGAATATTACTACAATCTAATGACAGAAAAGTATATGATTGTTCCAAGGTTAGAACATTATGCTTGCATGGTGGATCTGAGGGCAAGAGCTGGGCAAATAGAAAAGGCGTACTCTTTTATCAAGAAGATGCCGATGAATGTTAGTGAGAGGATATGGGGTTCCCTTTTGAATGCTTGTCGTATATATAATGACATGGATATAGGGGTTATAGCTGCAGATAATCTTTTCCAGCTTGCACCTAGGCAGTCTGGTTATTATGTCTTGTTATCAAATATCTACGCAAGGGCTGGAAGATGGCAAGATGTGACTAAAACTCGGACAATCATGAATGAAAGGGGTATCAAGAAAATTCCCGGTCTTAGCTACATCGAGCTCAATAACCAAGTGCACACATTTCTTGCTGGTGACAGGTGGCATCCTCAATCGGGGAAGATTTATGAAGAGTTAGATGCATTGATTGGGAAGATAAAGGAAGCGGGGTATGTCCCAGTAACCGATGGTGCTCTGCATGATGTTGAGGAGGAAGACAAAGAAAATCATTTGGTTGTTCATAGTGAGAAACTGGCAATTGCCTTTGCAATGATGAACACTGATCCGGGGACCACAATCAGGATTACAAAGAACCTGCGTGTGTGTGGTGATTGCCACATTGCTGTTAAACTCATATCCAAGATCACCAAACGTCTCATTGTTGTCAGGGATACTAGACGCTATCATCATTTTCAAAATGGAGTTTGCTCATGTGGTGATTATTGGTGAACCCATCATTAGCCAGACTCATCAAGATGACTCTTATGATGTCAAATTCATGTAGTGACACAATGTGTTGGAGGCCCTTGCTATATTCCCGAAAAGCTTGGCTCTGTATTTGCAAAGGTTAGTAGGTTACTTCCCACCAATCTTTAGACAGCTGCTGTTATCTTTTGACATGATTGACTTTGAAGTGGCATCATGAGAAATAATTACTCAAGTAACAGTATGGATGACATTAAAGTTCAGAAAGTGAACGAACTTCAAGCTTCATCTTTCCCTGTAAGATCAGGTATTCCCCCTCCCAATAAACCCCTGTGAAAGGCTTTGGATTTTCTTTTTGTATTGTACGCTTAACAATCTTTATTTCGGTACATTTTCGAAGCGTCATCATTTCATTTGTTCCATATATGGTTCCCATTTGTAATGTAAATTTTTACCCTGCAATAGTTTGAATCCGAAGCTCCCTTAGGCCTTAGCGGATATAATATGTTCTATATACTCTTTGGGACTCAATGTATGCCGTGATTATCATGCTTGTTTGTTCTATGATGTATCTATCCTATATTTCGGAAACTTCCTATTTCATAAGTTAAAAATTATTGGATGGTAGCCCTTTGCTAGAGTTGAAACCTGAAAAAATTGTCATAATATTAGTGGCTGAGTGGGAGAAAGGTTGGATGGTATATAATGCAGGGAATTTCAATTTTTTAAATGGTAATGGTTACACTGTATGGCTTCTTGCTTTTGATCAGTGCGTAAGTGGCATTTGCGGTTTCTGCCATCGTTTAATTTTCATTATAGCAAAACCAGTGTGCTGCCTAGTACTTCATTTGTCCCATTTTACTTTCTTAATTTCCATTTCGTTCTTCCTTAGTCAATGTCAGATTTCATAGCGAGAAGAACACGGACTTTGCCATTTTTTAAATTCAGCATTTGACCTCTTTTTATCTGATTTTTTAAATGATTAATACTGTTTGACCCATTTGATGGATTTTATGGATCGTAATTATAGTGAATGTGCCATACAATTTGGGACGTAGCCTGGAGAGAGTATCTTTATCCTACATGGTTTTTGTTTTATCTGATTAACAACATTTTAACTTTTTTAAAATTAGTACTATGAGCAGTTCTGCAACTGACTGGTGCTTGGTTTTCGTGTACCAGATGTTCAAACTTTTTAATGTCAATGCTCAAATCATATATAGAAGTTTAACGAGTTGTAAGAAAAAAATATAAATGATATTAGTCTAGTGTGATATGAAATGCAGAACCTATTTATTAATTATTATTAATTCCTTAACAAAATCGATGCTGCCAGTGAATCATTCCGAGAGCTTTTCCTTTTGAAGTATATTATTCTTTTAGCCTGGCCTGAAATGCAGCCCCAGAGAGAGCATCTATCTATCTTTTCCTCAACTACTAAGGTCTCAGTCACATTATTATGTATGCTTCTTGTGTCGAAGAGGAATTGATCGATCATATGAAATGCCGATTGCAGTGTTTCTTCTTGCATGCAGGCAGGCTTGGTGGACGTCAAGGGAGGGATAGAGCTGTTGCTGATGACAGAGAAGATAAATTGAGAAGTAAGTAGTCAATTATCGTCAGGACTAATTAAATAACTTTCCCACACCGAAACCGGATGTCTGAGCGATGCCTTGGCTGTGTCTATATATATAAGTTTACAGTTTCTGATTAACTCACCCTTTGAGACTGACTAAGCTTCTAAGCCCTGCTGGGTTGAACTGGCTAACCATTTGGGACTGGCCCCCAGCCCCTGCTTTGGGCACCATTAGGCTTAAGTAGGTGGGTTAGGGCTAGGCTAGTTTTACAGATAGATTAGGCTTAGGGTGCAAGGGGCATTATGCTGCCTCCATGCCATTGTGGGCCTCCTGGCGGTGATATGCTGCCTCGGTAGTGGTAGGTATGGAAGAAGGGGACGGAAGGAAGGAAGAAAGCAGGAAAGGAAGAAGAAGGAAAGGGGGGCAAGGAGAAGAGGGACAGCAGGGAAGCGGGAGGAAAGGGAAAGGGGTGAGTGAAGAAGTAGAATTAGAGTACCTACCAAAAAGTGCTTCCAGACGTGCTTCCAAAATCTAAGATTATAACTTTTCTGTTTTTCTTGCTTGATAAGATACAACTCAAGCTATTTGCACTTTTTCCAATATATTAAAATTAAGTAACACTAGTTTTTTACCCATGTGTTGCACGGGTTAATAAAGCAACAAATAAATTACTCCGGTACAAAATTACTTGAAATTGTTCACAATGAGCTATTGAGCTATGCGTTATCTATTAAGCCTGAAACGTTGAGGAAAAGTATGATCGATCAATTCCTCTTTGACACAAGTATCAACGTTTCGTTTTTTGTTATGGAATTCAATTACAAAGTATATCAATCCATGGAACCGGATAGCTTCTATATTGACAAAAATGTCAGGGATGGATTCTTCTAAAAGGAATTCTTGAAGGCAGATGCATTACTCTTCTCCAGAATCACTACCTAAAATCTTGTTTCTCATTATTCTTTGCATATTCATCTCATCTACTTGATCTACAGATCAGGTTGAATGTCAATGACTAACATCATCAATCATGTGGAGAAATAATGTCTATGTGACACCCTTTGACAACATTTGGTTTTAGTTTTATAAATAGGGAAGAACATTGTATTAGTGTCCGATTATATTAATGGACGACGATTGAACGATCGTCCGATTATATTAGCATAATCATTGCACAAGAAGTCAATCTGCCGTCCCCATACCAGACAGAACTTGCCCGGCGCCATCACTTCTCCCATTCTCCTTTTTTCGCTGCCAGTATTCTCAATTTCCAAGTAAAATTTTGCATTTTAGTATATAACTATTGGACGATAGAGATGGATTATTTCATAAATACGTTTTGCTATACGCGTAGGAAAATAAATAGTGCTGGTGTTTATCTGCGTCTAAGGATCACACATTCATACCTGCCTTGAGTGATTCTTTTAAGGGTTAAACATCGCCCTCAGCCAGCAGCTTTGCTTGATTTCTTTTTTTTTGCAGATGGGTTCGACCCCAATTGTGATATCCTCCTCCTCCCACGCCCACGACAGCTGGTGGGGCGGGAGAGGCAGTCTCGTAAATAACAGAAAGAACGGAAGGAAGAACAGTAACAGCTATCTAGGCGTCATTTCGTCTGCTCTTTTTTTCTTCCTAACATCATTTCTGTTGCTGGGTTCCATATCTTGCATCTATGTGCGGCTCATGCTGACGCCTAATGTCCACTCGAACCTGCCTGTGAAGGGCTGCTGCGAAGACAATGAGGGTTCTTGGGCAATTGGTGTTTTATATGGCAATTCTCCTTTCTCGATCCCTAAAACCCATCGAAGGCATGAGATTTCTTCTTTCTCGGTCCTTCCTCCTTGTTACTGATTTTAAGGGTTAATTTTTTCATTGAAAGAAAAGTTCAGGTTCTTGATTTTCAAAGTTTTGAGTAGGAATCACTTTAAGATTACAAGCCTGTGTTCTAAGGATGGAGGCTTCATTTTTAGGGAAGTTCCGGGTGTCATTTTCAAGGTTTCGGGTAGTGCCCATTCTTAAAGTTTGAATCTTTGAGAGATTACAGGCTTGGGTTTACGGTTATTTTCTGGGAATATAGAATTGGATAAATCCTTAAGTATTATAGGCTTTATAGTTACTTCTTTGACGTCTATATGTGGAAATGGATTGCAGATGAATATACATAGTGACAAGAGCGCAGCTTGGCCGGTGGCCAATCCGGTTCTAACTTGTGCTTCAGCTTCACAGGCTGGGTCTCCTAGTAATTCCGTTGCCGATACGTTCCTTTATGTTAAGGTAGTTAATTCCTCTTTTGCTTGAAATTAGACAAGCTTGTCTTTTTTTAATACCAATATGGATTTGCAGGAAATTGGTCTATGACATCCTTTAGTAGGGCACTCTTTGGTAGCCACTTTAGCAGAATAAGTAGTATCTACTGACTTGTGTATTTTGTTGAAATGGATGCTACCGAACACTTTTCCATTTTCTGAAAATTGAGCAAACTCCACCATTTCAACCATATAACCCTTGCCAAACGGGCCCTAGACTGATATGCTTGAAATTTGGCTTTAATTTTGTTTTTAGTAGTGCTCATTAGATAAGACGTTTTGGGGCTTCTCAAGTAGAACACTAAAATCTAGCTGCTTGATGACCACACCATGAAAAATATATTTATTATCTACTTTTTGGTACTCCATGATTTAATTAGTAGATAACAGGGTATACGTCTTTATACTCTTTAATCTGTATCATACCAAGTTGATAAAAGATATTGCAACTGGCTCTGGCTTGATAATTTTATTTATGAGGGTTTGGTAAATATGGATTTTGTACTTCAAGTGGCTTAGAGCAAGACTGCAAGTTGCTAGAAAGTTCTGTGAAATTATGAGAAGCCGATCTGCAATATTTTCTAGGAAGTTGAGGTTTGAAAGAGAGTATAACGGAGTCCTGGAAGACAATTGGATGAACTATGACCTTAGATGGGAAAAGGTGTTTTGGGTGCTTGAAACCTGCTTTACACTTTATATGGGTGTAAATGAACCTAACAACCTTAAGTTGTACTAATGTTGCAGTACAAATAAAGTTGAAACGGGCTCAACTTGAGAGGTGCATAAATGCACTAAATTGACCCCCCACGGGGCAATTCCAAGCAATGTGTGCCAAAAAAATAAACAGACTTTAATTAGATCAGATTTTAATACCAAGTTATGTTTGGCCTAACTCAATCAAAAGGATCCTCAAGAGATAAGGTTTATCCTGTATTCATATATTAGCCATAACCCATATGTATAGAAAACATTTGACGTGCAGCACAAGTTAAATTCTTTTTCCCATTTTGATTTCAGGAAGACGCTCTTTACCTGTTTTTTGAAACGAAGAACCCCATCACAATGCAAGGGGATATTGCAGTTGCTAAAAGTATTGATAAAGGGTGACATCTCTCATATCCATATGCCTTTCAATACAACGGGAATGTAAGATCTCAATTTCATGGACTTGTTCGTTCATTAACTTGAGACTCAGAGCTATCCATCAGGAATTTTTTCCCATGGAAGTATGGAACAATTAAGAATGATTAGTCCTTTAATTTTTTTAATTGTGGGGTGGGTGAAGGGAAGCATAGCACTACAGGACATATTAGATAGTGCCATAGTGGATACTCTACTGCATTGTGAACAGGATTTACTCTTCCTGTCTTCAATACTTGGTAATGACCACATAGTTCCAGTTCAATTTTAGTTATAGTATATGAGAAACCCCTAAAATCTAAATATATGATTTTTTTTAATAATAATTCATTTTCCTTCATGTTTCCAATGTGAAACCAAGCATAAGAACACAACTTCTCTCTTATCATTCCTTTTGCTCCTTTCCTTAGCACTCTCCATCATCCAAACATACCCTTAATGTATGCTCCAACGTATTTTATTTTCTTTACCATGTCTGTCTTCAAATAATGCCACACATTCCTACTGCTAACCTCTTTCACTTATTCTCTTCACAGATATATATGTTGCCCGAGGGTAGTGATAAGGGAGAACTTAATCTGTACCGAGCTATAGATTTTCCCTCAAAGTGGGTGCAGGAGAAGTTACTAATGAAAAAGCCCATCATAGATCCTTTTATAATCTCACATGACGGGAAATACTGGCTGTTTTGTTTCAGATCATAGTGGCATTGGGGCCCAAAATAATGGACAACTAGAAATCTGGTATAGTATCTCCCCTCTTGGCCCTTTGGAGGCCCCAAACAAAGAACCCCATTTACAACATAGACCCAAGCCGGGTGCCCGGAGTGGAGGAAGACCGTTCATGTACGGTGGGAACATATACCGTGTTGGTGAAGACTGTGGTGACATGTACGGGAGGACAGTCCGCATATTCAAAACAGAAAATCTCACAACACATGAGTTCGAAGAAGTTGAGGTTCCATTTGGCATTCAAGAATCTATATCATTTTCATTTTCATTTACCCCAGTGCCGCAAAGGCTCCAACCTACGGTGGGGTAAAGGGGGGTCGGATGTACGCAGCTGTACTAAAGAACAGAGAGACTGTTTCCGGATGACCCATAGTGAAAATCGCGTCCAAAATTGCATGGACTGAATGCTGCTCCATAACAAAGAAGTGCATTCAAGAATCTATCAAGGGGATAAATGCCTAGAATGGAGCCCACAGCCATCCCTTTGACGTGAAACGGCTGGACTCGGGAGAGTGGATCGCCTTTTTGGATGAGGATCGTGTGCATTCAGGTAATACCACCCACCGGTTTGCTCTCAGCTTTGCTTCTGTTATCGGTGTTTCAGTAATACTCATATTCTTGGGTCAGTGGGTGTTTTACCTGGGGCCATCAAGTGTGTTGTCCCTTTGACTTGACATTCACACAACATGGGAAAGAAGAGTGATTCTTTTTCAACCTGTAAGAAGAATCAAAGAATCAATTCTCTATGAAATTGTGGTTGTTTTGCTGCCAATTGAACCGCATGGGCACATTTCTACATGCCAAAATAAAACCAAGCACGTGTCCAGGAGCATTGATTCTTGCCCTGACATTCTTAACCACAGCTGCTATGGCGTGTTTAGGTGTCACCCACATCTATGGAGGCAGTGGTACCCAAGAACCATACCCTGTGAATGGGATGACATATGACGCTCGCATGTGGAATTTGAAAATGTACATCAAACACTACTCAAGGTGTGTTTCGGTCCGTGAAATCATCGTTGTGTGGAACAGGGGAAAGCCCCCATGGGCGGGAGACTTTGATTCGGCAGTGCCGGTGAGGATAAGGGTGGAGGAGAAGAACTCCTTGAACAACTGGTTCAAACCGAGCCGTTGATAAAGACGCGAGCCATTCTTGAGCTCGATGATGACATCGTGATACTGACTAGGGCAGCATTCCTTGACACTGAAATGGCTTTCAACCGATATTGGAGTATGGAGGCTTTGCCAGGATAATAATTGTGAGGATGTGCTTTTGAACTTCTAAACAATTGTAATAATAAAATATATAATGCATGTCAATTAACTACATGATAGCGCATCATGTATCAATGTATCATACGTCGTATCAACTTGAGCAAATAAATGAATGAAATATGTTTAAAGGGTCTCAAACGATAAGAATTAATGTTTTATTGATAAAATAAAGAAAAAAATATAAAAAATAGCTAAAATGATTATCTACAGTAACTTCAATCAATACATCAGAAAAGTAAATACAACCTTACATTTTCTTATTATTACACAATTCAGCGCATGAAATCAAAAGTCATATGTTCAATGAAAAAAATATGACTTCTTTTTGGCTGGAGTGCTGGACAAAAAATTGATTTAAATAATAAAAATAGCTCATCCGTCTCTTGCATCTAGAGTCCATCTGCATTTCTTCTGCTTCTCTTCTCCTCCACCGTGTTTCTTTCGCTTCTCTTCGCTTCCATCTGCTCTCAGTCCATGGCTCCATGGCTCCATCTGCATCATCATCACCGCAATGCATCACCGACGTTGCCTCCATCCTTGGCATCTCTTCTTCTACTTCTTCTGTCCAATCACATTGTACTTGGATTTTGCGACTATGGTGGTGATGCGGCGGTGTGGCTAATAAAGCTTTGAGGCAGCGGCGTTCAGACTAACGAGCGACGATTTCGTCGTGCAGGAGCTGGGGACAGAGCTAGATCGGAGTTTGATCGGGGTTGTTGGGGTCTGGGCTAGATCAGGGGTGATCGGGGATACATCGGGGTTGTTGGGGTCTGGTCTGGGCTAGATCGAGGGTTGGGCGCTGCTGTGAGGGGTGGGGGCTACTGTGGGGGTTGGGGTGAAGCAGGGGAGGGGGAGGGGGTGTGGTGGTCGGAGGTAGTGGTTGCCGACGGTAGCCGGAGGCAGGGCCGAACCTCTATGTGAGGCAAAGAGGCAACTGCCTCAGGCCCACAAATTTGGGGAAAAAATTAGGGCCCCAAAAATTTATTAGTTACCTTTATATAGAGGAAAGTTCATGTCCGGAATTCCGGACAGGAAATACCGCATTTGGCCGTCTTTTCTGTGAAATTTTTTGATGAAATTTTTATGTCATGTTCCCTATCAAGTCTAGTTTATGCACAAACAAATTCAGCTTAAAATTCAACCGGGAAGACCGTCAAATAATTTTTGGAAGTTAACTGCGTTTTATTTGTATATTTTGGTCCAGTTATCTTTAAAAACCCATTTGACGGCCTTCCCGATCGAATTTTTAGCTGACCTTTTTTGTGGATAAACTAGACTTGATGAAAAACATGAAATAAAAATTTCATCAAAAAAATCCACCGGGAAGGCGCCCAAACGCCGCCGTCCGGAAGGCAATTCCTCTCCGGAATTCCGGACGTGAACTTTCCTCCCAAAAATTCTTGAGGGCCTTTTTTTACAGCTCGACTCAGACCAAAAAACTCTTAGGATCGGCCCTGGCCGGAGGTGGTGTTCACGGGCAGTGGCTGGAGGTGATGGTCGCTGGTGTTGGGGATGGGGCTGTGACAGGGGAGGGGAGGGGGTGGGGCTAGCTGGGGATGGTGCAGGCAGGGTCAATATGTTTGGGGCGTGGGGTCGATGGGGCTATGCGGCGGTCACTGAATGAAGTCGTGCGGCGACGATAATTTGGCGATGCAGGCGGCAGCGTTACTGCGACGGTGTCACTACGGCGATGTTAGTGTGGTTGGCGGCAGTGATCGGTGACGGCAGTGACACGAGCGATGGCAGCAACAGTGACACGAGCGGTGGCTACAGTGACATGAACGGTTGCTACAGTGACATGGACGGTGGCTACAGTGACACCGGCGATGGTGGCAGTGACATTTGATAGTGACTTAAAACTGGACAGTGACATTAAAATCTGACAATGACATTAATATGACATTCTTAGACACATTTTTGTCTTAATGATAATGTGGTCACATTTTTGGAAATTGTCTTTACTTAAGTAATACTCCCTCCGTCCCCCTGTTATTGTCCCATTTTCTATTCACTTGGTCAACACAAATCACTCTTAATCTCTTACTTTATTTATCAAATTTTTATCAAATTTGATTCTGGTTTTTGCAACTTTGTAAATCTTTTAATGTAGTTTCTGAATATGTAATTTTTTTCCCTAAAAATAATTTGAGTGCGGACAGGGATCTGTTTGCTTTATCGTCGATCAAACATCGTTAACCGCAATGGGACAATAACAGGGGGCGGAAGGAGTATTATGGTAAAAACTTCTTTTATAAATACAACTTGTAATTATTTGTTGTTATATTGGTATACATAATATCAATTTTATAATCCATTGAGTAACTTATTACTTCGTATTCAATAGCTCATAAAAATGTAGTTATATAGAATGTAGTTTAAGGATTAAGAATGTTTTTACTTGGACTGAAATTTGCTGGTCTTGTATGATCTAAACTGGTCTGATCTGGTCTAGTAAATGTCTAGTCTCTGTGTACCTGAAAAAGGTGCATCCCCAATTGTTGACTTGGAAGACTTGCTTACAATTATAAAATAAATACTACCTCTGTCACGTTCAAAGATTTTCATTCCAAAATGACACGACTATTTAGACAATAATTAAATATATTAATTCGAGTATTCCTTGATGTCTCGAGGTCGAATTTCAACCTTCAGGACAAGGTTGTTTTCTAAATTAGGCATGTTATTAGTAGAGTATTTAAATACCTAATTAAAACTTAATTTGGGCTCGATTAGGATTTATGTTTTGGATGTTATTAGAAGGGTATTTAACCCCTAATTAGAGTTTAGTCTTGTTTATCCGTTAATAAAATTGGATTTCAACCTGTGTTGGCTTTGGACAAAGATTTCTACCGTTTATCACATTTCTGTTCTCATCAGTGTGTGCACACACATTGCAATACACACATATTTGAATGCTAAAAATGCCACAGAATGAAGCAGTTATTGACTATTGTGTTAAAGAAACGGGATGTAAAGCTGGTTCCATGTGGAATTGATTTCGGGGGCAGGAACATATATGTAAAGGGCAATATTCGATTCAATATATTAGAAATGAAAGAAATACTCCTCGGTATCTATTTAATTGACATGTTTGCTTTTTTACGTAGTTTAAGATAATTACTGTAGATTATATGAAAAGTAAGAAGTTTTGGTACTGTAGCGGTACTGTAGGTGCTTTTTAAGTGGGTTTCTTTCCAAAAAGAGAAATGAGACAATTAATTTGATATGTCCAAAAATTGAAAGTGGGACAAATAAATAGATACGGAGGGAGTGTATGTTTAATCGGAACGGTCTTAAAATTTTGAGGATAGTAAAGGTGGTTCTTTCCTAGTCATGCTCAGGGACGGATCCAGGATTTCGAGTCAAGGGGGGTAAAAATTTCATTAGTGTAGGAGGTAAAAAAATCACTAGCGTAGCGGGGCAAAAAAACTTTTGTTAGTGTAGCGGGGCAAAAAAAACTTTTGTTAATGTAGCGAGGTGAATTTTTTTCACTGGTGTAAGGCTCTGAGGCTATTTTTATTTTTTTAAAAAAAACATTCATATATACATACACGACGACATTTAAATCTACATATTACATTCTAAGTTTAGAAAATGGCAAACTAACTTTAATTTTATAATTGGAGTGCTCTAGAAAAAAATATTGATACATTAAAGCGTAAGAAATGACAAATCAAAGAAAAATCATTTGAAAATAAAAAAGAATGTATAACACTTTATTTAAAGATAAAGAATTTATAAGGTACACATTCATTCATCAATACTTTTAAAATAAATTAAACAATGTTTAACTACATGAATCTAATAGAAATAAAGAATTGGGTTTTCGATTACAATTTTTGCCTACTAAGGAGAGTGTTTATAAGTCACAAGAAGTTTTCTTAATACTGAAATAGTATGTATGAGATTATTATTTTTAGAATAATATTATATTGCTTATTCATATATATAGTGCATATTATATTTGTATTAATGCTAAAATAGTTAAAGTTTATTATCTATGTAATAAAATCTTTTTAGAACATAAGAAGAAAATAAATTGTATAATTTAATGTCAATAAACATTTATATCTTGAATTCACTTCACATGATCTAAAAATTGTGTAACTAGTGTGTCTGGTATTTAATATCGTTTAATATATATTTTACAAAATCATTTACTAGTTATCTAATAAAGATAATTAAACATTACAAAACTAAGAAATTTTATTTATTAAGTATCCTAAATCTTAAACAGTGAGTTGCTCTATTGTTTTTTTAAGCTATGTAAATTATTTTAGATGTTCCTTCTTTTAAATCTCCAATTAAGTATTACATTATGTAAGACTATATATTAATTTTGAAAACTAAAAGTCAAGAGGGGAACTCTAATTAAAGAATGAAAATTTTACGAAAATATTCAATATGTAGTAGAAAATTTTGAAAGTCTATCCCCGCCGCCCCCGCGCCCCCTTAAATCAATCCCCGGTTATGCTCACTTTGGAGCGATTTCATCTATCGTGGGAGATGACAAGACGTTTCTACACAAATGTTCACAATATGGATGGGTTTTTTTGTGCCAAGGTAGACGATCATCCTCTTGGAATTTGGTAGCCTTTACTTAACCTGAAGCAGGCTTACTTTTTTGCAAGATCTTGGCAAGTCAAAGCAGAAAACCTGACATCAAATTGGGAGTAAACAATTAACAATGTTGCAGGGTTGTTGAGAGCAAACTTGTGTTGCTTTGCAATTTTGCACACAATCTCATCTGTAGCGCAGCAATGTAGAACAATTAGGGATGGACCGGTTCCGGTTCAGGCCCGGCCGGGCCTCGGTTCATGAAGGGGAGGCCCGGAATCGGCCCGGAACCGGCCCGGGTAACCCCCGGGTCCGGGCCGGGCCGGGCCTCGGTTCTATTTTTCTTTTTTGGCTTTTCCTAGTTAACCTCCAACCCTCCCCCTCAGTGCCCTCACCCCCACACCAACCCTAACCACCTCAAATGGACCAAACTAACCAGCCCAATCCAAAAACTTAAAAAAAATTCAAAAAAAATAAAATAAAATAAAAATGGCCTGGCCCGAGCCCGAACCTGCCTGGCCGGTTCACCTTTTGAAGGGCCCAAGCCCGAACAGCCATCCCACCGGGCCGGGTGGC